GGGGGGGGGGGGGTGCTGGCAGAGAAGGGGGCATCCGAGGTTTTTTTTTAAAGATTACAAATCTGGGAACAATTTGATTCTTTCAACTACATGAAAGAAAAACAGCAGGCATATTAATAACATCCACGGCACCCTTGTTGAAAGCCGGAGACTCACCCCACGGGTCAGGGTCAGGGCGTCAGAGGGAGAGGTCGGAGACTCCGCACCCCCTGGGGGCCACTAGCTGGGGTGGAAACCCCGGTGGTCCCGGCGGGCGTTCTAGAGGGCTCCTGCATGGGGCGCAGCCTGGGGTTCAGGACAGTCACCCCCGTCACTCAGAGCTTCAGGTAGGGACTGGGGGGCCGGGACCCGGGTCCTGGGGGACAACGGGGGTTGAGCACGAGCGGGTCCCCCAGCGGCCTCCGCCAGGGAGGTCGGCCCCTGGCGCCCCCCTCCCTCCCCTGACCCATTTTCTTCGGAGGGCCTCTCTCGCAGTCTCCCCATGAGGCCGAGTCCCTGGCTGGGGCGGCCCGTGTAGTACACCTGTCCCCCTGGGGTCCCTGCAACCATCGCGGCCCGAATTCTCAGGTCCCCTCGGGGCCCGACAGCGCCCCTCCCAGCTCTCGGGCGGCGCCCCGCTGCAGGCCCGGAGCGGACCGTCTGCAGCCGCCCCGCACCAGCCACGTAGTCACCCTCCTCCCTAAAAATACTAAAATTGGGAGCAGTTTTCTCGGAACCCATTCCAGTATTCTTGCCTGGAGAATCCCATGGGCAGAGGAGCCTGGCGGGCTACATAAGGTCCATGGGGTCGAAAGAGTCGGACAAGACTTCAGTTCAATTCAGTCGCTCAGTCCTGTCCGACTCTTTGCGACCTGTGGACTGCAGCATGCCAGGCCTCCCTGTCCATCACCAACTCCCTGAGCTTGCTCAAACTCATGTCCATCGAGTTGGTGATGCCACTCAACCATCTCATCCTCTGTCGTCCCCTTCTCCTCCTGCCTTCAATCTTTCCCAGCTTCAGGGTCTTTTCCAATGAGTCAGTTCTTCCCATCAGGTGGCCAGAGGATTGGAGTTTCAGCTTCAGCATCAGTCCTTCCAATGAATATTCAGGACCTATTTCCTTTAGGATGGACTGGTTGGATCTCCTCGCAGTCCAAGAGACTCTCAAGAGTCTTCTCCAGCACCACAGTTCAAAAGCATCAATTCTTCTGTGGTCAGCTTTCTTTATAGTCCAACTGTCACATCCATACATGGCTATTGAAAAACCAAAGCTTTGAGTAGATGGACCTTTGTTGGCAATGTAATGTCTCTGCTTTTTAACATGCTGTCTAAGTTGGTCGTAACTTTTCTCCCAAGGAGCAAGCGTCTTTTAATTTCATAGTGACTGAGATGCTACCTCCCAGACTCAAGAGTCCTTAACAATCCCACCAAAAAATACCCCCCAAAAAACCCCTAAAATTACCATTTAAGACTCTGTTGGCCCACTCCCAACCATATGTTACATTTCTCTTTGGCCTTAAGTGTATTCGTATATAGATGAATATTCTAATATTAAGTATTATGACATTCTTTGAGAGTTAAAAATTTCCTTCCTCTGATTTTACATAAATTAAAAATATTTTTGTAGGACCCTGGACACTGTGCCTAATGGAGGAGTCAGCCCCTCACTTCCCTCTACCTGTTACACTCTCTCCCCCAGCCCCCAGCAGGGAACAAATCTGTCTTGTTGGTTTGGAGCCCATGGTCACATCCCTTGGATGTAGTTATAAGCTCTTCAAGTCTCCCCTTTACACTCGGTTGTGCTCCCGGCTGTCCAGGCACTCCTCCTGAAACTCACACGCTGGTGTGCAGTGGCGCCGTCCTGCTTAGAGCCCTCTGTGGCTCCCCGGTGCGCTCCGAGGTAAGGTGCCACCGCCATGCCAAGTGCTATCAAAGACTGAGCAAAATGCTGCTGCCCCCACCCGCTCACCCACCAACCACCCCGCACCCCAGCTTTGGACCCTGCCTGGGACCCTCCCAACTAGGATGGTGGGCCAGACCCCCGAGGGGACAGCTTATCAACGTGCACCAGCACTGTTCTAAGTGCTTTACAAGCAACTTGTTAGTCCTGGCCACAGTCTCCAAGAGGAAGTATTGTTATAGATAAAAACCGATAAATATGGGCTTCCCTGGTGGCTCATCTGGTAGAGGATCCGTCTGCAACGTGGAAGACCTGGGTTCAATCCCTGGGTGGAGAAGATCCCCTGGAGGAGGGCATGGCAACCCACTCCAGTATTCTTGCCTGGGGAATCCCCACGGACAGAGGAGAGTCTGGTGGGATACAGTCCATGGGGTCACAAAGAGTTGGACACAACCGAGCGACTAAGCACAGCACACATAAATATTTTATGTAAATATGTATATACTTCTACTTAACAGATGAGGAGACCAAGGCACAGAGCAACATTCCCAAGGGAACAGCTGTTCAGACTGAGGCATCCTTGGTCCTGGAGTTTCTTGGGGTCCCATGCAGGCAGGTAGGGGGTGATTGGAAGGATGGTTCCAGGGGGGTTTGACCACCTGTGATTTCCACCTACATTCTGACTTTAGCACCCAGGCATGGGGGGGGGCCCTCTGCTCAGGGCCCCCCCATGTTAGAAACTCAGCAGGCTGACAGCTTCACCAGGGCCCCCCACATCCACAGCCCTGGGTGACACCCACCCTTCTCACCTCTCAAGGAACATGTCATCGCTGGTCTCGAGGGACACCATGAGCCTGGTCAGAGAGCTGGGCCGGAAGGGTGAGCTGGTGCCCGCGGACAGCCTGGCCAGCACCCTGCACCTGCGCCCCTTCTGCCTGGTGAGGAAGAAGCACAGACGCCCCCGCTGGCCTTGGGACACCCCCTTCATCCTCACGGACTTCTCCCTCGTGGACGCCCTGGAGCCCGGCTCCCCCATCCCAGGTACCCCCCGGTGGGGCTGGCGGGCAGCAGAGTGGAGGGGACTGCAGGGCGGCTCGAGAAAGGGTCCACCTGGGGGGGAAGCCGACGCCCCCTCCACCCAGGCTCACGCCAGGGGCACCCCCAGGCAGCATGTGCCTGCCGTGGGGAGCAGGGCGCACCGCTTCCTCCCTCCTGTCCCGGCTCTCTGATGAGCACTCATCATCATCACTTTAATCACCATCGTGACTGACTTGCACCAAGTGCTTGCTGGGTGGCAGGGACCCTGTCGGCAATTTCCTCGGTAAACGCTGACCACCCCTCTCGGAGGGAAAACCCTGTCATTCTTCTGCCCCCTTTAGAGATGGGGAAACTCAGGCTCCGGGAGTTGAGGGCTTCTTGCCCCGGGGTCACACCAAGCCGGTGAGAGGTGGAGGCCAAACTGGGGCCTGAGGCAGAGGCCTAGTGCCCCCGGCCCCCTGGCCCATGCCTGGACCCCTTTCCCCATAGAGCTGAGCCGCAGCGCTTCCAGGAGACGGTGGCGGGAGCCGTGACGGGGGCGTGAGCCTGGCCCCGGGCAGCAGGGGAGCGCGACGGGCAGCGGCCTGGTGAGCCGTGGCTCCATGCGGGCTGTGTGGCTGCTCTGGGTCCCCCCACGCCTGGGAGACCCTGATGGGAACATCAGCCAGGCGGGCTGAGCTCTGCTCTCCGCGGGCCCAGGTCCCTGGGGCCGGGGGCAGGAGGGAAAAGCCCCAAAGTCCCGGCCACTTGAGGGCCTAGCGAGAAGGCTTCTGAGTAGATTGGGATGGGGGGAGTCCACTATTAGCAGCAAACCCAGGGGCAAGGCCCCCCCGCCCCCGGGGCAAGGGAGAGTAGGCAGTGAGAGGGACTCGTGTTAAGTCAGAGATTTCAAACCCCTGGTTGTTTTTAAGGCCAGAAAAACAGAAGTGCGGTAGCTGCCAAGGGTAAGGCAACAGGGCATGGTGGGGACTCTGGCAAACTGGGGGACGCAGGCCTGCTGAAGCTGACAGCTGCACCTACTTGTTGCCAGGCAGGAATATGAGCTCCGTGGCACCGTTTTGGTTTTTCTTGAGAGAAGCCAAAACTGAGGTTTTGGTGGCTCAGTCAGTAAAGAATCTGCCTGCAATGCAGTTCGATCCCTGGCTCAGGGATCGAGGAAATAGCAGAAGGAAATAGCAACCCACTCCAGTATCTCTTGCCTGGGAAATTCCATGGACAGAGGAGCCTGATGAGCTACAGTCCAAGGGGCCGCAAGAGTTAGACACAACTGAGCGACTACATCACCACTACCACCAATTTTAATATTATCTCAACAGTTTTAAACACCACATAAACTAAGTAACATATGCCTTTTGCTCGATTCAGCAGGCAGGAAGCCCAGTGGTAGCCTCTGGGCTGGTCATTTAAGTCCTGCAGAAGACAGATGTAGATGTCTGAGTCCTCTGTTTCTCCCTTTTCCGACCACCCCCAACTGACCTTGAATTCTAGTCCTGAGTACAGGCCAGGCGCCCGCTTAACCCCCCACCCCCCGCCCATATCAGCACAGAGTCCAGGCTGCCCACTGCAGAAGGCCCCAAGGTGGGGGAGCCCTGGAGAGCGCCTCCAAGTTCTGTCTCTTCCCCTGCCCCCACCGGCACCCCTGGCAGGAAACAAGACTCTGAGACCCTCGTTCCTCCAGGAGTTGCAGAGCTGGAAGGAGAAGGAGAGCCTGTACATGGTGACCGAGGCCTTGGAGGCCAAGCAGCACGCCACGTTTCAGAGGCGAGCAGAGGGAGCTGGGCAGCTGACTCTCCTCCAGCTGGGCCACATCCGGGTGCAGGGGGCACCTTGGGGGTGCAAACATGGTGTGCCGGGTGCTGAAAGCCACCAAGGAGCCCCCCCCCCGACTCCTGGCAAACCACCCCCTCTCACCAGGAATGTGGAGTCCCTGGGCGCTTGTGTCAACTCTGCATTTTAGAATCACCTGGAGAGGTGTCTTGTTGGTTTTTGACTTTTTAAAAATACCAGTTCACACAGACACACGCACACAGTTTTCACTGGGGTGGACTAGGACCCAGTCGCTGGTGTTCTGACTCTCCCAGTTGAGTCTTACCTGCTGCTGGGGAGCAGTATCGCAGGGCAGGGGGTTTCGCAGCAACTTTGAAATTGGGCATATCTGGCTGCAAACCCCAGCTCGGCCCCTGGCTGGCTGTGTTGCCTTGGGCAAGTCACTTGGCCCTCTGAGCTTGACTTCTCTGGTCCCCGAAGCTGGGCTGGAATCAGGGTGAGACTCTTCAGCGATGTGAGAAGAGTGCCCCGGACGTGCCAAGGGCAGGGATGGGCAGGGTTCCTTCAACCTGCCTTCAAGACCCAGACCTGCTCCTCACCAACTCTGTTCTTCTGCCACGCAGCATCCGTGGGCTGCCTCCGGTCCCCACTGTGACGGGGGAGGCGGGGCCCCACACAAGCATTCTAGGGCTCAGGGGGATCTCGACTCCCACAGATCGAGTTGCACTCACAGCATCACCTCCAGGCCCCACCTCTCACCATCCCCGTGAGTGCAGGTGGGGGCCGGTCACCTGGAGGTCAGTCTCCAGGCCACCAAACTGAATACTGTCCAGGAGCTCAGACATTGTACAGAACAGTCTCCAAAACTCTTGTCTCATCTGTTCCTCAGGATAGTTCTCTTGCTTCTCAGTAGCACTTCTCTGGTGGGATCCAGTGCTGATGGTGGCACCCCTGGCCCCACCTCAGGAGTCCCAGCTTCCCAAGAGCCCCCTCCATCAGCTGCCCCTGACAGAGGACGACCTATGGAGTTTCTCAAACTGCCACGCCCCAGGCTTCCAGCTCAGCCCTTCCTGAAGTGAACCCTCCAAACACTGAAAGACACATGATGAGGCAAAACAAAACTCATTTCTTTGCAGTGGGATCTTTGAGTGCCACTGTAGATTGCTTTGACCCCAGAAAGCCTTAGGATTTTTGGAAATGTCTCACCTGCAACCTATTTTTCAGAGTGCCTTCCTACTGTGCCCGAGTGACCCCTGCCTTTGCACCTTCTGATCCTCCAACTTCAGTGGGCCCTGGTCATCACGTCGGCCTCCTGCAGCCCCTCCCCCTGTGCCCGCCATCCCCCGCTCCTGTCTAGCCCTGAGACCCCTTCCTGCAGGTCTTAGAATCTCTCCGCCCCCTCCCAGCTGCAGGGTCAGAGCACCGTGGCCACGGAGAAGGCAGTGGGCATCCCACAGGGCGCTGTCTTGGCCTACAGGGTGCTGCAGCTGGTGATGGAGGAGGATCACTGGGGTACGTGGAGGCCGGAGGAGCTGGTGGAGGGGGGCAGCTGCTGAGTATGGGGCAGGAAGAGGAAGAAGGAGGCTCTTTCCTCATGGGCCTGAGCACTCAGGTGCCTTTCGTAGTGGGCTTCCAGGCCAGATCACAGGGAGGCCTCACCACCCCGCCTGTGCCCGGGGGGTGGGGATGGGGCTGGGGCATTGGACCTGGGGAAGGGAGAGACAAGAGAATCACGTGGACCAGAGGTGGGCCTGCTCATCAGCGGTCCAGGGACTTTTCTCTTTTCTCTACCCCTGCTCCCACGCAGCTGTACTGTACCTGCCTGAAGGGAAGCTCTGTAGAAATGCCAGTGGAGGTGAGTGACCCCTGCCCGGAGCTCAGGAACCCAGGCAGAAATCACTGCCTCTCTGGAGAAGGCCCTGACCCCGTTGTCGGGGCCCCCCTCCCACCCCACACAGTCACCCCATGTCATTCGGGCAGAGAGGGCCCTGTGTCCTCTCCCCGGGCGAATGGAGATGCGCTCGAAACCCCAGGACCAGGCTGTGGGTAGGACGGTGAGCACAGGGCTCGTGGGCCGGCTCCAGGTGCCAGCTCTAGCCTTGGTCTCCCCACCACACAAGGGGAGGTCAGGGCTTTCTTCCCAAGTCGGGAAGATCGGTGATGATGTCTGGGCAGCATTGGATACCTGGAAGGCTCTCCGGAGGCAGCCTGTATGGTTAACAAAACAGGAGGCAGAAGGCAGGGCCCTCTGGCCACTCTGCCAGATCTACCCACCCACCCACCTCTGCAGGGGTGCTGAGACCCTGAGAAGCCCTACCTTAGCCATCCCGGAGGGGTGATGGGGTGGAGGGGTCTCAGTCCAGGGGTCCGAGGAACAGACAGAACGGGGCAGAGAATTGGCCTCTCCTTGAGCTGAAGCATCAGCCCTGGGCAGGGTGAGCAACTGAGGAGGAGGAGAGGGAAGCGGTGGAAGGCGGAAGGTGAGGATAAGCCCCATGGGTGTGCAGCACCTGGCATGCAGTAGGTGTTCAGAACGTGCTGAGTGCCTACTGTGTACCAGGGAAGGCAGGAGGGGTGAGCACATAAAGGCGCGCTCTGCCTAACATGGAGCTTCCCCAGGGCTGATCAGGGCGGGGCTGGCGCTGGGCAGGAGCCTGGGCACAACGCAGCGATGCCAACACCTGCCCGACAGGCAGGGCCCCCAGTGAGGAGCCCAACTTCCAGGGCCCGAGGAGGCAGGCGGGGGCTCAGCTGGAGGCCCTGGCCAGGCTGCCCTCGGAGCCGCAGCTCTCCCTGCTGGCCGCCCTCTGGGAGCTGCTCCAGAGCCCCTGCGGGCCCTATAGAAGCTAGAAAACAGGGTGAGGGGCCCGGTGGTCAGGGCAGGGAGGGGGTGGGGGGGTGAGCAGCAGGAATGTGTGAGGATCTCCCTGAAGCCCAAGGAGGGACCTTGGTCTAGCGCTGCTGGCGCTGAGCCCAGGCTCATCCCAGCCTCCCTGGCACCGTGAGGGGCTGGGGCCCCAGGGCGTGGGGACGGGAGCTTGGGTGGCAGGGAGCGTGGACAGAGGACAGAGGGGCACCCACAGTTGCCTCTTTTTGCTCTTCCTCGCCGCTCCCCGCAGCTGGAGCAGGCCTTGGACACCGGGGTGCCGGGACAGCTGGGTGGCCCTGGGGGCCTCATCGCAAGCACCCTCCAGGACCCCTCGGGTGGCCTGTCGCCCTCGAGAAGCAGGGCCGTCCTCTGCCTTCTTGGAGCGCTAGTCGGTAAAAGGACGCCGTGGGCTGGGGCTGGAGGAAGGGCCGGGTTCTCGTGCTGGCTCAGCACGGGGAGCCCGGGCCAGTCTCGCCATCTCCCGGTTAGTAACCACTTTGCAAAGCCACCAGTCCCGGAGGTGAGCTACTACCCACGAACGCCCTTAGTCAGTGAAGCCGCCCGCACACCCTTGACAGATTGTGATTTAGGAAAACTGAGGGGCATGGAGTGGTCTTACCGAAAGCTATGCAGCACTTCCAGGGCAGGCACAGATCCCACCTTCTAGAACCTTCTGGGGAAAGATGGCCCCAGAGATCCCAGGTGGGGCGTGCCCCCACCTCAGGGCCCCAGTATCCCAGCCTGTCCTCCCGGGAGCCGCAGGCCTGTGGTGGCCCTCACCCCCATCTCCCCGCAGCGCTGAGTGCCACCCAACACTGCCTGCTGGCCCAGTGCCTGGAGAGGGGGGTCCTGCCCCAGCAGCTGGAGCTGGTGAGAGCCTAGGGCGGGGGCATGGGGGGCGCACTGGGCTCCGACCCCTGTGGACCCAGACCACCACAGCAGCCACACGCAGGCTCATTCAGGGGTTAGGCTGGGTTCCTGCCTTCTGCCGGGCCCTCTGCTCAGGCCTGAGAACACAGGCTGGTCAAGTAGAGACTCCAACAGGTAATCACAGACAGTGCCCAAAGGGGGAGACGCGCTGGGTCTTGTGTAGCTTATGTTGGCGGCTGTCGGGGCCCAGGGGTGTTCCCAAAAGGGGGCCCCTCCATGCAATTCAGGAATTATTGGATGAAGAGATGGGGTGGGTTTCCAGCCAGAATAGCGTATGCAGGGGCTGGGAGCCCTTGGGGTGCAGGAAACCACAGGCCCCAGGCAGCGCAGGGAAGGGCGCATTTGGGGGGCTCGGTCCTTGGAGCCCCAGTTCTGCAGGGAGCAAGGCCCCAGGCTCAGGTGTGGTGGCGGGGGTGGGGTGGGGCGTGGGCGCCAGTGATCAGAGGCCCCAGGCTCCCACCCTCAGGGCGAGTCCTGCTACTTCCAGCTTTGGGAGACCTGTGTGTTCGCCCCCCGGGTGATTCCTGACCGGTGGCGAGCATCTTAGAGCCGAACTACAACCAGATGGAGGACACAGGTTTCTCACCGCCCCCGAAGTCCTCTCCTGGCTGCAGCGTGAGCATGCAGCCCTCACCCGGAGCCTGGTGGAGAGCTGTGGGCTGGAGCTGCGGGGCCCAGGCCACCCAGTCACCCGGGACCCTGGGGCACTGCCGCAGCTGTCTGCACTCTATGCATCCCTCGCCGAGCCCAGCCCTGCGGCCCCCCAGGCCAATGCCTGAGGAGGGTGCCCCATGCTCCCCGAGGGGCCCCGCCGCCTAGACTCCAGGGAGCGGCTGGCCCAGAGCCTCCACGCAGGTGGCCCCAGGTGATGGTGGGGCTCCGCACGGCTCAGCTCACGCTCGTCTCTCCTTCTCAGGACCGGCCCCCAGACCTCAGTCGCCCATCCAGGTCTGGGGCAGCGGGGGCCCCAGTTAGGCTCAAGTCCTACCTTGGATCAGATTCTTCCAGGAGGGCCTGTAGAGGCTGGTTCCGGAACACCCTCCCCATCGCCGACAGTTGGGTAGCTCTGGGCATATCCTGCCCTCTTTATGCTGCTTTCTCCTGTAAAATCACCCTCATAAAATGGGGTGATCAGAATTCCTAGCCCGTAGGATTGTAGTGAGAATTTTAAAAGTTGTAAATAAAGCGTTCAGCACAGTGCCTGGGTGTCGGCTCTTCCTGTGGCATGTCGTTGTTAGAATGGTATCGCTGTTGAGGAAGAAGCTGCCCGACCTTCTCCGGGTTCACAGAGGACTTGGCCAGCCTCCCCTTCATCTCAGCGCCCTGCACTCTCCTTCAGCCCGTTTCCCCACCTGTAAAATGAGAGCGGTGCTCAAACTGCTCCATGGTCACCCAGCGGCACCGTTCAGGGATTTCACTACGGACCGGGGTGCGGGCTCAGGGCTGTGAGTGTTTGTGTGCGCAGTGGGCAGTGTGGGTGTGCACAGGTGTGGGTCAGGCCATGCACGGGGGGCCGAGGAAGACCCGGAGGCCAGGACCAGGTCTCCCCACTCCCAGCGCCGTGCTCTTCCTAGAAGAGCCCACCCAGATGGAAATGAGTAAAGCGCTCAGAGGCAGGGAGATCACCCAGCAGGAGCACTTGATATATTCTCTTCTACCAGTGAAACTTGTCTGACAATCAAAACAGTGGTCACTGTAAAAAAAAAAAAAAGTTTCAGAAAGGAATGAAGAACATTTTAATCTCCTTAATTCCACTTCTCAGAAATAACCAATATTGACATTCTGATGTTTATCCTTTCAGTAATTTTTCCATCACTCATATATCTTGCAGAAAGATTCAGTAACTTAGTTTGATACATTTACTTTTTCAAAAGTATAGTATATTGCGTGCCATTAAACAGTCTCTGTAGCCTGAGAAGTGAGGTTTCAGGCAAGAGGGTCTTCACAGACCTCACACCAATCTCTGGAAGGCCCTCCTCTGGAACCAACGCACCAATGTCACGCTTTCACCACATTTGAGCGTCCTCAATTCTGTCTGGGGAGTGTGGACAGGGGCTCCTCCTTGTGGGGAAAACAAGAACACACACGCTTTTCACTCTGCACTGCCAAAATCAAATAAATCAAGCCTCCTGCATTGTTGCTCTGTGGGCTCAGAGAGGCCCACGTTTTAATAAGTTAATGAGCCACAAGTAATTTAAAAGGGATTAATGTTTAACTCGTGTGTGTCTTAAAGAACATTAAATGAGTCCATATACATGATCTTCATGAAAATCCTTTCTTTCCATCTCTAAACTTCATCACACAAACTGTCCAGCCTTCTCTCCCAGCAAAAGTCTTCCCTTTGGCTAGGGAGGGAATGGATGTCCAGTGGCAACAAAAGCCTTCTCTCTTATGGTCTGGTGAGCACATAATATTCTTCCGTAACACATATCTCTTTAAGTTAAACTTTCTTGAAAAGCAGCTTTTTCCTCAAATGAAATGTGGTCATAAATGAATCAACACTGATAATAATTAAATCAAACTGGTTCTATTGTAGAAAGTGAGGATTCTGTCATCAAAGTTGGAGAAAAATAATATGTTGAGCAAGGGCTCTGAGGCCAGCAGATTTCGACTGAAAATTGTCCCTGTCAGTAGCTGTGTGACCTCAGGCAAGCTTCTCCACCTCTCTGAACATGTCTTCTCATGTTTGCGCCCCTTGAATAGCAAGCTTACATATGGTGGTTGCCTCCCTTTGGAGGACCACTAGCGAGCCCACCCACTGGCCCTCACGGGATGATTCTTATCTGAACTCTCCTTTCAGCAGCTAAGTCCGGGGCTCCAGGAGCTGTTAGCTTGGGGCTGGCCACAGAGCTGGGACAGCTGAGCTGCGCCGCGGCCCCGGGGGTCTGGGCATCGGCGCCTCTGCCGCCTTTGACCCCTGGGAGCAGCTCTCCCCTCTCAGGACCCCAGAAGCCAGCGTTGCCTCAACAGCTACTCCAGGTCTGAGGTGGGGCCGTGGAGACTGACTTCTACAGATGGGGGAAGTGGGGCCGGGGAGCTGTAAAGCAGGAGAGGGGCAGAAAGGGATCGAACCTGCAGAGTGGAGGCTCTCCCCTACACAGACTGTCCCGCGGTCCACCCTCCACAGCCCTACCCCTCCCCGCAGCCTCTCACGGCCAAATGCTCCCTGGAGGACCCCCCGCCCCCACCCCACAACCAGACCAACCGATGCCAGGTGCCCACAGCAGAAGCCCTGCCTGGAGCAAGGAGCCGGTGCTTCCGGGACCTAGAAACCACCCCTCACTCTGCAGGGCACGCTCCTGGCACCTGGGCCCAGCCCCTTCCTCCCAGGTGCCCAGGCTCCAGGCCAAGATGGCCCTGGACTCTTCTGTCACACACGCACTTCCGGTCTGTGGAGGGTCCCTGGGGGCTCTGCCTTCAGAACAAATCCCAGCTCTGGTCCCTGCTCACCACGTCCACTCGATGACCCGCCACCATTTCTGCTCGGTGACTGCAATGGCTCACCCGGCCTCCCTGCCTCTGTCCCTGCTCACCTCATTCTGTCCCTGGCACAGCGGCTGGAGTGAACCTCGTCAAATACGTCAGATCCGGTCACGCCTCCGCCCTGAGCCTGCTGACGAGGAGACGGAAAGCCCGTCTTCCGGTGGCCCCGACAGCTCCGCCCTCCTCACTGGCTGCCTCTGCTCCCCACGTGCCCTCTTCTCACCCCCAGAAAACTGCCGCTCTCCTCCACGAAAGCCCCACCCGGCACCCATCTTCGGTCTGAGGACACTGTCTAGGTGGGCTGTGAACAGGTACTACAGTTTCTGACACCAGAATGTGCTGTGAGCGCTGCTGGAGTTACCACTAGACCAGGGCGCTGTGTTTAAGATAATTACGCTGCTAGTTTTGGTTTCAAATAGGCAGTTAATCGCCTGCCCAGTTAGAGAAATAGCACTACCTCACAGTAAGTTTCAGTCATCTTGCCTGGAGAATCCCATGGACGGAAGATCCCGGAAGGTTACAGTCTATGGCGTCCCAAATCGGACACGACTGAGCGACTAAGCGTACACACACACAGGAAGTTCTGGCTTCCCAGGTGATGCCAGTGGTGAAGAACCTGCCTGCCAGTGCAGGAGACCTAAGAGACGCGGGTTCAGTCCTTACGTCTAGAAGATGCCCTGGAGGAGGAAACGGCGACCCACTCCAGTAATCCTGCCTGGAGAATTCCATGGACAGAGGAGCCTGGCGGGCTGCAGTCCATAGCGTCGCACAGAGTTGGACACGACTGAAGCGACTTAGCACCGGCACACAGCACCACAGTAAGTGGTGAGTGATTACACACTAGTAGCAATCACAGTAAGTGATTACTATTCATCAGTTATAGGATCTCTAAAGATCATTAAAATTGGGCATCTTTGCCCAATGATACCCTCCTAGACTGAGGAAAGTAGTCAGAACTGGTGCTGGGGACAACTCTGGGGTAAGTGGAGAACCATACACGTTCATGGACATGACCTCTGAAATAGGCTACAATACAGACATCATGATGGTCACAACGAGACCGGCAGGCAGCACTCCTGGTGCAGACAGACAGTACAGCACCAGCCAGCACAGCCCCCAGGGCTGCAGCAGAGGGGCAGGTACCTCAAGTATTCCATTGCATCAACGCGGACACACGAGACTCGTCCAAAGTTACGAGTTTTAAACGCAGCTCCACCATGGGAGTCTGCGCTGTGACTGTTCACACAAATGCCGCAGCATCTGGCAGTGTAGATAGAAAAGACATGTACTGCATGACATGGAATCAAGGGTTAGAGATACTGTCTTCACTCTCATCTTACTGACTGGCAAGACAGAGTTCCAAAGAAGCAATGTGGGTGGGGTTTCCTGAGTTTTAATCTACAGGTCTTTCCACCGCCGTCTTCTAGGGTCACCATGTAAAGACTGAAATATGTGAAATAAGGGATAATTTTCTAAGAATTTGTGGAGTAGCAATTACTGCCATCTCAAATGGAATCAGTATGGCATTTCAACTTCAAAGACCTGCGTTTGAGCACAAATGCCTTAAGTCTAAAATACTTGGAGCAATCTTAAAATAGTCCAGCATGCTTCTTAATCCAACTCTCTAAAGTGGGAAAACAGCCAAGTGAGAAGTTTTACTCATCCAGAGGTTGAGGGCTGCAGAAACAGGATGAAGAACACATCATGAGGGGTGTTGCTGGTGTAAGAGAGGAAGCAACTTTATCCTGTGAAGAAGGGAGGCGTAGGGGCTGGAGTACCGGATGAGTAAAGCGGTACTAACTAGGCTGTTTTAGAGGTTGAGGGGGTAAAAGGCTTAGAGCGGCAGGAGATTCACCTGCAGAGCGGAGTCATGCCTCCCTCCAGCACACCGGGCAGACCTGCTTACTAAGCCTGGTCTCTTTCATGATGAGCCCGTGGCCAGTTCCACAATCCTTCATTCTGAGGATAGACATGAATAAAGATCAGATCTGGAGGAACTTCTTACTATCTGAATGGTAAATACTAAACCAAACTAAACCTACTTTCTGGAAGCAGAGATGGCTCCTTATAACACTACGCAGCACCGTGCTTCCCACACACGGAAACTGTTGTTCCGTGGTTCCAACAACCTCAACCTCTTTGAGGTTTTCAAAGACACCTGTTCTTGGAACTAGAGATCGGTCAACTTTCTGAGGGCCATATGGCCTGTCACAAGAATTCCATTCTGCTGTTGTAACGCAAAAGCAGCCAAAAGTAACATGTAAACAAATGAGTGAGGCTGTGTTCCAGTAACATTTTATTTATGGACACTGGAATTTGAATGTCATGTATTTTACACATGCCACAAAATATAGTTTTGACTTCTGCCAACCTTTTAAAAATGTAGAAACTATTCTTAGTTCTCAGGCTGTACAGAAATAGGTGGCAGGAGGACTGGCTCGCAGAGTTTGCTGAGGCCTGGTCGGAGGTTGAAAGAAACTTCCACTTGTTCTGATGTGGAGACCACAAAATACATTAATGGCAAAGGCCACAGCAGTATTACTACATCTACTTCAGCTGCAACATCATTTTTAATTTATATCCATTCAAGCACTTACACTTGGCACCTCCTTAGATCCAGGTACTGGGAAAAATCCTTGGGACGCCGAAGGGACATCAGATGAGGCTCTTAAGTTCTCACGGGATGAGGAAAGCGGTCCGGTGAGATGGCAGCACTGTTGGATGAGACACTTGTATGAGTCTTAGGGCTGCCATGATGAACTAGCCTCAACTGTGTGGTTTAAAGCAAGGCGTTTCTTCTCTCCCAGTCCTGGAGGTCAAAATTCTGAAGCCAAGGTGTTGGCAGGGTTGGTTTCTTTGGCGAGGCTCTCTGAGAGAAAGCTCCCCCGCTTCCAGTGCTGTCAGCGAGCCTGGACCCTGTTTGCAGACACACAGCTTCCTCCACTCACACTTCCACCTTCACACGGCCTCTGCTATGTCCGGTTCCCCTCCTTTCCTCTTACATTTGGTTTAGGACCCCATGTAATACAGGATGGTCTTATCTCCGGATCCTTGACTTAATGTCAGCTGCAAATACCCTTTTTTCCAAGTGACAGGGCATCTCCAGGTTCCAGATGGACTTACCTTCGGGGAAGGGGGACTATTTAACATTACATCTTTCTTTATTGGAAGGTGGCTCGAGTTATCCCCAAGGCTTTGTCAAGGAGGCGACACAAGCTGATCCTCCAAAGACGAGAGCTGACATTCCTCAGATGAACGTGAGGGAGGAAGGGGATGACAGGCTCAGAGACCAGTGGGACCCAAGTTACAAAGTGTCATACCGAGTAGAACAATCTGATCAGCACGCAGTTGAGCCTGGCTGGTTGCAGGCTGTGGGTGGCAGAGAGGGAGACCGAGGCCAGAGAGGTGACAGAGCAGGGATTCTATCACGACAGGCTGTGGGCGTGGCCATTTGGTACTAGTGAACCAGAGACATGGATGGAATTCTCTGGGATTTTCTCCCACAGATAACCCTTAACCCATCATGGTTGGACTAGACAAACCTTAAGCAGGTTCTCCCCATTAGGGCACTTTATGGTTAAGATTTATGATCTTAAAGTAATAAGCACACGAAGTTTCCTACCACTAGTGACACTGCGGCCTTCAGTTTCTCCTCAGAAGTCCCTCATATACTCACTCTCCTCCCAGTACTCAGGACTGTTCTTCCCTCCACATGCTATTTCAAGTTGCAACCTTTCTGCTCCTGAGAACTGCCCTTTGAGCAAAGGTGTAGTTTCCCTTCTGTTGCTACATCCATGCAAGAGGAAATCAAGGATAAAAGTCAAGTATGACAAGATTACTAGGGATCTTTTCTGGTGGTTCAGTTTCGGTAAAGAATCCACCTGCAACACAGGGTTCAATCCCTGGGTCAGGAAGATCCCCTGGAGAAGGAAATAGCTACCCACTCCAGCATTCTTGCCTGGAGAAATCCATGGACAGAGAATCCTGGTGGGCTACAGTCCAAAGGGTCACAAAGAGTCGGAAAAGGACTCGGTGGCTAAACCACCACCACCACCAATAGTCGTCTTGTACTCAGCAAGATTTTTAAAGCAATTAAAGTAATAAAAAAGACCCAGCTCTCCCCTAAAAGAAGAGGGGAAAAATGTACTGTACACATACATTCCAAAAAATACACATAGGGAAAACTCTACAGACCCAGAAACAAAACATCAGTAAACCAAACCACACTTAGAAAAATGAAAGCTGATTTTTATTTTATCATCAACAGCCATTCTTTAAACATGAACATGCATACGTAATATTCTACGCACACATCACAGTTTTTTAACGTTAGTTAATAAAGGTTAAACACACAACATACATCCTTACAAAAAAAGTCAAAATGCAAACTTAAAACTTTAAACAAAAGTCTTACTAATTTAAAAAAAGTGTGTGTTGGGTACCATTTGTACAACACAGTTAATTTAAACATTTTTATTTTGGCTGCACATGAAAAAAGCGGCAGTAGAAAATAAAGTCATTGAGGGTTTTTAAATAGCAGAATAGGCAGTTTTGCCATGCAGGAGAAGCAATATTAAATATTAGTTTTTCAAAAAAAATCCACATTTAAAAATATTTAGTTCAAGTCACAGAATTTTTCTCAGTAGAGACCCCAATGCGATGCATAATTAGCTGCCTTAGATGGCCTGTTTGAAAGGACAATATCCCTTCAGAGTATAACTTTACTGATTTTGGCACAGAAAAGAAGTCATAAGATCAAGAACATGATTAAAAAAGAGGGAGAGGAACAGAGGAAAGAAATAAAAAGCAGGAGTAAACGAGATATAGTCGCAATCACTAAAGACTGTGCATTCTCAGTCACTGCGGAACACTGTCTTCTGTCTACAGCAGGTTGCTTTTCCAGAACTGTTATTGCAGCATGGATTTAATCTGCTTGGAGGTAGTCTCATCATTCAAATGTTTTGTTGTGTACCTATGAGGGAAGAACATCCATTTTAGGGGGTTAAAAAAACCACCACAACCTGCATCAGGTTCTGTAATTATGGTAGAGCAACAACGGGCCAGGAGATCTTGTCTTACAAAAGGAGGTCTCTTCAGTCCAGCTGTACCCCGTTTCAGTCCCTGCTGACGGATGCGCCTCTTACCTTTAAACAGAACATCCAATGGCGGCTTTACTCATTTAGAACGAACTACCTCATTGAAAAGGTTGGTTAGATTCTACAGTAAACAATTATCTATAACTGCCCTCTCAAAGGAAAATAGCTGTCCAGTATCAAAGGCTGGCAAATTATAGCCCATGGATCAAATCCAACCTATCATCTATTTTTGTATGGCCTGTGAGCTAAGCATGTTTTTACATTTTTAAATGGCTGAGAGAAAAAGTAAAAAAAAAAAATAGTACTTCACGTTAATGTGGAAATTCCATCAAATTCAGATTTCAGTGCTTATAATAGTTCACTGAAACAGAGCCATGCTAATTCACTTACGTATCGTCTATGGTCACCTTCCTGCTACAAGTGAAAGTGAAGTCGCTCAGTCAATCCGACTCTTTGCGACCCCATGGACTCTAGCCCACCAGGCTCCTCCATCCATGGGACTCTCCAGGCAAGAATACTGGAATGGGTTGCCATTTCCTTCTCCAGGGCAGAGTTGAATAGCTTGACAGATGTCACGGGGCCTATAAAGCCTAAAATATTTGCTTTTTCTCTGATCCTTTACAGAAGCAGTTTACAAACTCCTGTTCTCCTTTGTATTTAAGACAGTTCATCCTCACATTTTCATCAAGAAAAGGCTAATGGCATCTAATACAAGTGAAAATAACACAACGTATAAGTGAAGATGAATGGCATTATTTCACTTCACACATAAACACAAAAGTCCTTTTCCAAGAGTATATGACTTTTCTACTGAAGAAAAGAAACTACTATTTAAGTTTAAAAATAAACTTAATAAATTAATAAAAAAGGTAGTTATCTAGCACTGAACCTGAACTCCCAGCTCTAGTTTTCTTTGTTTCTCTTTCTCTTATGATCAAAGAAACTTGGTTCCTTTTCTCCATCTGTAAAATATAGACATGGCTCATTGCTTTCTCCTCATTACATAGTGTCAGTTGCAGGGAACTATATCATTACTACAGAAAAGTATTCAAAACAAGCAACTATATCTATATCTATATATATATATATATACATGCAACTATATTATTTAAAACTTGACTCCGAGGAAAAGGATGGAGTGAGCATCTGTAATAAATAAGCTATTCACTTTAAAAAGAAAATAATGCAGCAAAAAATGTGTTCTATTTTGTAGAGACAGAAATAACAACACTTGCACAGCACTTTGGGATTCCAAAATGCTTTCTTAACAGTATCTTCTTCGCTCTGAGTGAAGCATGTTAAGAGCTAGGTTGGTTTAGTTTAAGCAGTGTTCTCAAAGTACCAACATTATCTACAACACACAGGGTGCTTGTTTATAAAATGAGATGCCTGAGCCTCGTCCCCTCCCCAGACCTAACGGACAGACTAGACTCTCTGGAGGTGGTAACCTGGGAATCTGCATTTCCCTTCCATCCAGATGATTCCGGAGTGCAATGACTAATCTCAGAGTAAACGTGCGGCTTGATAATGCAGTATCAAGTATATGGGATTTTAAGAATAAAACCCTGAATCTGAAGATAGACCCCAACATTTATTAGTTGTATCATCTTTAAGTCTCTCAAGAGCTTCAGGTATCTACTGTAGGATGGAGACACCTCCACTGGCCCATACCACCAGCTACCTCACTAAGCTGTGGTGAAGAGGCAATACAGCCCCAGACATGAAACTGCATGGTAAATGTATGGTGATATAAAACTGTTACTAATTATAACCACTACTACATCACAACAGGTATGCTGGTTAACCTCACAAAATCTCCCTGGGGGAAATAACAAGCGGACATAGCATATGTGTTTCACTATGAGTGAGAACAGCTCAGGAGTTATCTCTGCAGTGAACTTTTATTTTCTGACTTCTATGATATTATTTAGAAAGGAAACCTACAGCTACGCTCTCACCTCACCTGGCAGAGAGTGAGTCTTCTCCCCCTTTCTCTCAAACACAGCGTGTTTGGGGTGGACATCAACACTTTGCACTCACTGCCACTGCCCTCCTCTGTCCCACACCAAATTACTTTTACACTGTGAAAAACAGAAGTGAACTCTGTGTTTTAAATTACTGTTGGAAGCACAGTCTCTTCAGGGTAAATAAATGCTACACTAAAACGTCCTAGACCTCTGGTTACTTTAGGGAAAAAAAGAGTTCCTGTTATTTGCTAGCTTTGGAAGAGCCTAACCAATCAGAAAGGAAAGGGCTTGGGAGACAGCTCAGGCTGACTGCGACATGGGGAATCCTCGGAAAGGGATCAAGCAGCAAGAATCACAATACCGTAAATATTGATACAATCAGTGAGAAGTCTCCAGAGTAAAAAATTCAAAGAATTTAAGGTTTTTGATAGGCTTACAGTTGAAACAGTTTGACATAAGGATTTTTTTTTTGGTTGTTATTTTATGTTCCTTAATCACTCTGCTTTTCACTTAGAACACATCTTTTTTTAATTTTTCTTTTAATTGAAGGATAATTGTTTTACTACATTGTGCTGGTTTCTTCCAAACAACGAGAATCAGTTGTTAATTATACATACATATATATATATATATATCTCCCCTCCCTTTTGAGCCTTCTTCCCACCCCCACCCCCAGAATAGACCATCTTTATGTAGACAGTCACTGCTTATAGAATACTTTTCATCATCTTAATAAAATAATTTCACAGTTCCATGCAGCTGAAATGACACAGCCTAGATTCTGCTTAATGATGCACCAGATGTGACTAAGTGTCCAAAAAGAATAAACAATCTGTTTTGCTCATGAAACATGTGAAGAAGGTAATACTATATTGGAAATCAGTTTATTCTGTGAATTACAATGCACTACAATGGCCTATGACTTCAAAAAGTCACTGAATAAATATCTTCGTTCACATAGTTTTTGTGTTCAAACACAAAACAATCAAGTAACAAGCAAATCATCTTTTACATTAGGGAAATGATAACTACCAATTAAATCTATGTAGTCAAGACTCTATAATGGGTTGAGATTTTCATTTAAAAATAGTCCAGGATTTGAAGGAGCTTTAGTAACTAAATCAAGTAAGTCTAAACTGAGAAGACAGACATCAACTAATGACTGCTTTATTTTCATTATAAAAAATGCACAAAAGTAATAAAGATCTGTAGTATAAACACAGAAATATAATTATACTATACTAAGGGAAAAGTTCAGCTATAAAAGTTTGTATAATATTATTTTGTAAAAGGTAACTTTTATATAAAGCTATGGCTATATACAAGTATTTTAAGAAGAAACTGGAAGGATATGCATCAAAATGTTTAAAAAAAAAAAAACACTGGAAGGGTATATACCAAAATGTTAATAGTGGTTTATTTCAAAATAGTGAGGGTTCCATATTTTCTTCTTAAAATTTTCCTGTTTTCTGAGTTTTATACAATTGCTTTTATTAAAACAACAAATAAGCAGTCCTTCCTTTGAGGTGGGCAGAAAAGTGAAAGCCACACTCCACGGCAAAGAAATGAAACTGCTATTTTCAGTGGGACACACACACACACACATTCTTCATTATAAAAAATACTGTGACCAATATTTGAAAGCAAGACTACCAATAAGCAACATGAGATCTTCACATTTCTAACATTTATGTGTTATTCACACACTGAAACATCTTAACATGTTCATCTTATCCACGTGTACCTGTGCGCGTACTCACCTGAGAGCATTGAGAAGACCTTCTACACTGTTCGGAGGCTGGTCCTTAAGAACCTTGATACAGCCTTTCATCTAAGCAGAAAACAAAACAGAAAACATGAAACACTGATTTTTCATCTAACATTCATTCTCAAAACAGTTAATACTGTTAATATTTCTCAAAACATTCATTCTCAAAACAGTTAATAACAGTTAAACCAGCTCCGTAACTATGGCACTCATGAGAAATTACACAGTAGAAATGTCAAAACAATTATTCTTAGAATGGGGGGGGGGGGGAAATCTACTCAAGTGTTATTTTCAATTTGTCAATCAGGCAAAACTTTCTGGAAACCAAGTCAGACGAACAGAAGTGCCAAACACACTAATGAGAAAATGAAGGGTTTACTAATGCAGGACTTTCTGGAAAAGCTGCTGAGCAGCCTTTTAAAGGACAGAGCGGACACACTGGTGAGAAAAAGAAGCGCCTTCCAGGTACATGAACCCAATAAAAAAAGTAAGAAAGCTCAGCACGTGCAGAGGGCTAAGGTGAATCGCACAGGGCAGTTCACAGAAGGCCTCAAAAGCCAGGAGGACTCATGGGGAACTGACGGGGGTGGCAGCAGAGACATGTCACAGGCTTCACAGAAAGGGAACAACTTGATGAAAATGATCTGCACGGAAGATGAGCCTGATTCCTGTGAGAAAGCAGAGCATGGCAGAAACACCACAGGCTCTGGAAGCCATGGAGATGAGGGTTCAAAATCCAGGTACCGTTCACTAGCAGTTACATTAAGAAATCTCCCTAAACTTTATTTCTCTATTGATACAGGGGAAATAACACCTACATCCTAAGAGTATTTTCAAAGTTAAATGAGAGAACAAATGTTAAAATTCCTGGGACACAGTAATGGTTCAAAAAATGTTGATTTATTTCTCTTTACATAGGATAGATGAAGATAAGAAGACTGACTAATCATCAGTCCTCTATACATGAAATGCCAAGAGTCTGTCAAAGGTTAACTGGAAGACAATTCTCAATAAATACTGGTTAAAATTCTCATGAACCAGGTATGAGTGAGGTAAGAAATTACAAAGTAGAAAAACTCAGGCTACAACCACAAATGATGATGACTGGGAGGAGAAGGGACAGTATATAATCTTCAGCTTTCTTCACTGGGGCACCTCTACTGGCTTTTAATACGTACTTGAAAGTAAAGCTTTTGTTTAAAAATGGCCTTCGGTCAAAGGAATGAAAGGATACAATAAAAAGATTTTTTTATGTTTCATTATTTATTTACATATACTGCCAAATATGTGGAAGTACCACTTTATGAATGAGGCTTCTCCACAAGGAGATACTCTAAAACAGTGCAGTTACCTTCATTCATTCTATTCCACCTGTATCTGGGCTATAAGAAATAACATGAGAGGAGCGAAAACCAAAATCTACCATTATCACAAACTATAAAACTAAATTCTGAGACAGAGTGTAGCCGGCCAGCTCCTTAAATAAAAGTCTATGGTTTCCACTTATGTTTGAAATTACTTGGAATTACATAAAAAACAAATACAACTTACATCAATTTTTGAAGTTTTGGCAAATGCTCCCACTGGATGCACGTGGTCATAGAGTATTATGACGCCCACCATTACCCTCAAGCAGAATGACACTGTCTCTTCATTTGTAAATCTGCTTCTGTATTCCCTGGAGGGTAGGAAACATAAAAGTGGATGAGGCCCATCACAGACTCATGAGCTGGCTGATGCTCAAAGTTATATCCTGCTGATATATAAAAGGGATGCTGAGACTATACCCTCACCTTTTCTGCAACGAGATTCCCAGAGAAATGAGGGGGCGGAACAGTTATTACTTCTACATTCTGGTCTCTATATGCGTGTTGGTATCTCGCCCCTTCTGCTCAGCGGAGATCAGACAATTTTAGAGAGATTAAAAGTAGCCCCAAAGTAAAAGTTTGGGGAGGGGTGCTTTGAAAGGTTGTCATCATCAATGTGATGAGAAAAGCCACTAGCTTAATAGAGAAAGTATTGGCATTTATAGATGCTTACTTGATCTAAACATATTACTGTATTGCAGGATTTTAATATTCTAAAATTCAATCATAGTCTTCTCTCAAATGGGAAAAAGGAAACAGCACTTTTAGTCTACAAGGAAGGCAATGGCATAGCAGAGAGTCCAGACCACAATGGAGACACCCAAGCAGGTGTGTGAGGTCAATCACCGTGCACAAGTCCCTTCACTCCCCAGGACCCTGCTCCCCTAGATGAGAATGACGACGTTATGATGATAAGCAGTTGCTCTCTTACTTCAAAAGGTTTCCCAATAAGATGAGCATATAATATTGTTTTGGGGGAAAAAAGCTCCACAAAACTAAAGTTATATAATAAAATCATACTATTCAGGAATATAGGAAAAATTCTTTCTGCCTGCTGACAGGAAAATCCAGACAGAAAGCACTGTGGTATATGTTACAAATGGTTTGACAGAGAGGAGAAACCCAGAAAGAATTTAGGTTAGTGTCAGGAAGAAAAAAGAAGACTGAGAACTAATAACTAATGTTGAGAGGAAGGGATAGCATTTAAGAATATTTCTAGCCCTCTAGCAAAAAGGCAAAGTACTCTTTGAAAAGGAAAGAGAGTATCTGAGAGGCATAACCAGATGAGCTTTAAAGTTCTTCCCCTATCCCCTCAAAAGCACACAGTAACCCTATTCTGAAGCATCTGATGGTCTGATGAACCTGAAAACCAAATGTACTTTATACATTTAACCAGAACCTACATTAAGCTGTGTAATTATTTTATTATATACTTGGGATATAGTTAATTCCACCTCCCAAATATGCCATATTCATAACTTTGTCAATCATTTCAACAGGACTGTTCAAGTGAAAAACATCAGCAAATACTCACGGTGTTTCAAGCATGACTCTGCACACGCTAGCCATGGTGCTTAGACAATCTGTGGTATTTTCTATTGGTAAATTTTTATTCTGTAAAAGTGTACAGAGAACAAAAGAGTGATGAAGAGCTATTACTTAAGAAAAATCTGAAACCTAGCATAACATGAAAAATTATCAACTTTAAAATCTGATTCCTCCTCTAAATTTTGTTTTAAAAAATGCACTAGAAAAAGAAATGCACTAGATTCCAGGTACTGTTCTAAGCTCTGAGGACACAGCTAGGAGCAAGACAGCTGAGATCCTCCCATCTCTCAACAAATCCTTACATTTGAGAGCTGGGCGGGAATAGCCACAACATGCAGATGATGCCCCAAGAGATATACGACATGTGGATTTGATCCTAAGGGCCCTGGGAAGTCACTTGGAGACCTTTCCCCCCATCAAAACTTATTTATTTTTAATTGAAGAAAAACTGCTTCACAGTATTTTTGGCCTCTGCCATATATTAACGTGAGTCAGCCATAGGTATACATGCGACCCCCTCCCTCTTTAACTTCCCAAACCGGAAACCTTTACGCCAAGAACAAAGGGAATGTGGTTTGGGTCTTAAGACTACTTGGCTACACTCGGGAGACAGGCCCACAGTGGGTCAGAGCATGAATGCAGAAATCCAGGCAAGAAGAGGTGGGGTGCCCCAGAGAGGTAGCTTGAGGTGGTAAAGGGTAAAGCTCTCAGACTCAGGTACACTTTAATAAGGAGAACCAATAATGCTGCCTTGTCTGATGGAGTGGACGTAGGGATGAGATAAAGAAAGGAACTGGGGATGAAACCCCTTAAGTTATCTGCTTGTACAGTGTCAAGACCTCACTGTGGTCAGCAGACCATGGAGGTGTCGACTATCCATCCTAAGGGTGATTGCCGATAGGTGGCAGGTGTGTACACGTGGGTCTCAGGGGACAGGACTAGAGTCAGTGCACAAGGTGCATCTATCAGCTTAGAGGATCTGTAGCAGACTCACTGAGCCCATCCTATCTGGACACAGGCTGAAGAGGAATGACACAAAGAATAACTTCCTAGGCAATGCCTACCTCTGATACAAACTTCGTTGTAGCATCACTTAAGGTTTTCAGCATTGGGGTTGCCTCAGCATAAAACAAAGACATTCGATTTGCCAATTCATTATTTACTTCATTTTCTCCTTCTGCCTGTGTGGAAAATAAGGGCACTTAATATCAGCTCCTAAGTTATTAATAAAATAATATTATAAAAGGATCTAGGCAAGGTGCCTATCTAATGCTTCCTAATCTATTAATAATAAATATGCTTACATTTTAGAGCCTCAAATGTACACAACACTTACATTACCTTTAACAAGAAAAAAGATTAAAATATAAAGAAATTTTTTTAAAGTTTAACTTTTAAAAAAATATTTTAAATGATATTAAACCATGAAATGAAACTTGAATGGGCTGCCTGCTGTATACAGAGACCATCTAAATGCCACAGAAGACAGAAAGATGACTATGACATCACACGCTATTAGGAGCAAGCAAGTATCCACATATCTTATCTTAATAACATGCTAAGAGACGAGGAATGAAGTGGGGGATGAGGGGAGGACCAAGACTGGAAGGAACTAAACAGATGCATGGAAGGGCTAGGCTTTGGCAGATGTTGATGAGCAGGTGCACGGGACATTTCAACCAGTCAGGGGGCAGAACATGCTTTCAAATGACTTGGCAGAGTGTAAATTCAAATAGGTCAGTTGTAGTAAGGGACAGCAACCAGTGAAAGAAAGCTGGAAGGGAAAGCTGGGGTCAGACTAAATCTTAGCTTCAGGTCATATTTTTCTTCGGAAGGTAATGGGAAGCCACTTAGCATTAGAAGAAAGGAGTAACAATTTAGCCAATCTTCAAAACAAAGTTAACTATTGACGGCAGACTGTACCAAAAAGAAAGAGACAGTATGCCAGAAAATAAGTTCTGCAGCTAAAGAACAGTTGCCAAAAACAGTGGGAATTAGGCTCTTAACTTGGACAGAAGTACTAAGAGATGGGAAGGGGGGCAGTGAGGAAATCTGAGAAAAATGGCACTTGACAGCGACTGAAGTGACCTATAATTAATGACTGAGAGCCAAGGGCACTACAAAGATGACCTCAGTGCCTCTGGTCTTGAATGATGGCAGGATGGCTACAACAGAAAATTGGGTCGTTTTATTTTACATAGTGAGTATGAAGAAGACAGACAATAAGGTCAGCCTCACAGAATAAAGTGGCTTATGCAAAACCAAACTAATACATCTAACAGGCGCTTCAATAAAAGAAATCTTTCTGATCCAGGCCCGTCTTAAGAGCAATGACTTCATAAAACACTTACTCAATGGCCTCCGTTGGTTTTGTTTTTAACTGGAGGACAACTGCTCTACAGTGTTGTGTTGGTCTCTGATGATCTTTTGGGGTTTTTTTAACCTTTTATGCCACTTGACACTCCTTACAAACTTACATAGTTATTTCTTCACTAAACTATCTACTTGAGGCCAGGGATGATCCTAGAAATTTTCTGTTTTTCATACAGATTAGCACACTATAGGTCCTAAAAATATCTAGAGAAAAAGATAGTATTTTTCTCACACTTAAGGTGGCATTTGATGTCTAGGAAAAAAGAGCATGAAACAGCTTAAAATGAGACCTCAAGAGGCTAACAAGCCAGAAGAGATGCTACGCAAGCCGAGCAACAGGCTCAGAGCCATCTTCTCACAGGGCGGTGTCAGACACAGACGTGCTTGGGGTCCAAGACCCCGCTCCCCTTCCTGCCAGGGTTAGTGCTGTTCCTATCCTGGGTCAGCCTCTCCCCAAGAATCTTCCAATCTAAGAACATGGGGACAAATAACTGATAACCACTAATTCACGAAACTTTTCTGCAGTTAAAATGAGAAAACAAGGAGAAATTCTGTATCAATGTTATACAGACAAAAAGCAGTTTTACTGAAGTAGCTGTGGAACAAAGAACCAAGTGGTAAATCCCATATGGTTTGTTACATTTTGCTCTTTCTTCCCACAGCTGTGGATGCCCATAATGATTAACTTTACTACTATCTTTAGCTTTATCTGAATGAATGAGTTAATAAATGAATGAATAAAAGATTAAACTGAACAAATCGAGATATGAATTATTATCACACCATAATTCAAACTTTAACTTACTGGAACATTATTAATCCTCATGCGACTCAATGTTCTTCTGTAATAGCTGAAGTCATTCTGTATGGCAGGATTTGTCATCTACAGAAAACATTTATGAAATAAAAAGTTATTTACTAAAGGATAGTATAGAAATTAAATGAAGTATCTACTAGAGTTGTAATTAGTTAATTTACATTATCGAATTTGTAATACCACTTTAAGAACTAAAACCATTATCATCCAAGTAACAATCTGCACTTAAATTATGTAACACTGTGCTTACTACACTGATTTGCTCACTGTCTCATGATGGACACAGAAGACTGTGCACACTGGTTTTCAGTCACAGTCAGTACACTGTCCTTCTTTCTTCTCATTAATTTCAGGTAACATATGAAAAGGCTGCTCACCAAAAATGGTATTACCAAACAGACAAAAACAAAAGGGAATGTGTAGCCACTTATTGTGGGCTATTACAATTAATATACAGGGCAGTCGTCAAACAGACTAAAATTTTATAAACAAACCATTTGTGTTCAAAGTATGAATAAAGGGGAATAGCTGTCTATGATATAATGTTTATAAAATGCTGGAGTTAGGAATCCAGCTCTTCCATTTTCTAAACAAGGTACGTGAGGTACTGGAAAGTCAGAGGACCTGCTTCATCATTAGTTACTATGACAGAGCCTAAAGTGGAATTAAGGTCTCCTGATACAGAATTTAATGCTTCTTTCTTTAAATGCACTCCTTCCAGCAAAAAGGATGTTTATAAGTAGATGGGGGGAAGGGGAGGGTGTGAGAAAGAAGACAGAAGAAGGAAAGAAGGTAAAGAAGGAGAGGGGTAGGAGAGAGAAAAAAAAAAATCAACATTGTTATATATTAATAGAAGAATGCTGGGAAAAAAAAACTGGGGATGAGTAGAAAAGAAAAAATATTAGAAGATGTCAATATTGTTGTTTCAGAGATGCTTTTTAAAATGAAGTTAAATGAAAACTGAATACTGAGCAATTTGCTGTTTGCTATGCTACACCAAAAAGCCTGCATAATTTTTAAATCCAGCTTTCCATTTTTGCTGGGGAAGAGCAGACATCATTCCACCACATTTTAATAAGGGTTCCTAGGCATTTCCTCCTAGTACTCATTGAAAGACGCATGATTTTCATAACAAGGAGGACCAGCAGGACAACCCTACCTTGAGTTCATCAAACCGGAGTGTAAAATGAAGAATTTCTGCGAACTGTTTAGCAAGAGCCTGCTCTCGCTCTAGATGCTGGGTGGGAGAATACGGGGTACTTGTCAAGGCTCCAAGAAGACCTCTTAACGCTGCTTCTAAAGAACAAAACGTTAAGATGTTGCTTGTATCTATTTATTAAAAAGTGAGCATTTTAAAAAATGTTTTTATTTCAATTTCCATAAAAATAAGCTTTCTTTAAAAGCTAGATTATCTAAACATAACACTCAAACTGAGTACTGTTTACTAGAATAGAAATCCTGAAGTGACTAACTCAATTTCTGTAAACCCAAATTCAGAATCATGAAGAATCTAAATCTGAATGAAATATTAGGATCAAAGGACAAATCTTACAACATTATTTTCACATTCTACACAATGTTGATTTTTATGAAATGGTAACTGTGACTATGTCTTTTTTGGTGAAACTATGGTCAGTCATATCTATATGTGGGTATGAACAAATTACCAACTTCATATACTTTGTGCTGTTTATTTATAAACACAAACTACGTTCTTTCAGCTATGAAAAGAAACCAAATATGTGGTTTAATAATTAGCTTCCTAAGTGTTGTACAGCTTGCTATCTCAGGGCCATAATATAAATATTCTTTGTCCCTTGAAACAACTGCTACTTTTGGAATGCCAGACTAATATTGTGTTTAAAAATGGAAATACTAAAAAATAAAAATACAGAAATACTGATTTCGCTTCAAAAAAATCCCAGAAATCAAACTAATACTGTTACATACTACACAATCATACAACAAGGCTAGATTTTATTCAGAGAAAACAAAGTTTATAAAGTTAGATGGTGGTCTGCCATTTATGAAAATATGCTAGATTAATAAAGATATTTATTAAGGAAAACAAATTTATGTCATATCATCAGCTTTAACTTTGTCATTTAACTTTCACTGTCAACTATGACATGGGCATCACAGATGGATAAACTGAGTTTCAAAGAGGTCAGACCCCCAAGGGTATATTTCATAAATGCCAAGTGCTTCTGACTTCACAGCCCCATTATTTCCACCATAATAAGCTGTTTCTCATATAAAATGACATTCTAACTAGCCTTCCATAACCTTATAAAAGATTAAATTATTGATTAGTACCAAGAGTAAGTACTCTTTATGCGTCTATTATGAGACAGGTAGTGAGCTAGACACTATTTGTAATCCACACAGTAACTTCAAATGATAGTTATCATCCTTTTTTAATAGTAAGTTAAAAAACGTATTGATGGTCTCATACGTGTCAGGCAGCGGGTAAACAGATGAAGACGGACACACCCTATGCTCACACAGAGACTAATCACACAGACAGAAGACAACTTACTACAGCTGGGATATGTACTTAGAAGGGTATGGTACCATGGAAAGGTATAAAACTGGAGCTTCGCCCAGCTGCAGACTCAGGGAAAGACCTGCCTGAATACATGACACCTGAACCGAGATTGGGCCGTGCACTAAGAATGAGCAAAAGTCTGCAAATAGAGAGGGCAGAGAGCCCAATCCTGAGCTGAGAGGAGCATGACCGAGGAGACAAACTGCAAGACAGCAACGCAGGTGGAAGAGAGGCAAGACGGAGAGAAGCCTGAGACTAAAACCACACACCTATCTGTGTGCCACACGAAGCACGCTGGCCTTGTCACTTTAGTGTCCCTACAGAGACTAAGCAGGGTGGTGACACCATCAGATCAGCATTTCAACTCCCCTTCGGACTTCCCTAGTGGTCCAGTGGTTAAGAACCTGCCTGCCAATGCAAGGGACTCCGGTTCAATCCCTGGTCCAGGAAGATTCCACATGCCGCAGGCAACGAAGCCTGCGAGCCACAGGCTTTGAGCCTGGGCACACATGGCCTGTGCTCCACAAGAGAAGCCACTGCAACGAGAAGCCCCCGGCACCGCAACCAAAGAAAGCTCTCAAGCAGGACCAAAGGCCCAGCCAAAAATTAACAAATGATAAAAAATTAAACTCCACTTCATCTGCAGCATGGAGAACGGACTGTGGGAGTATGGATGGCTTATCGAGTGGAGAAATAATGACAGATCAGGCCACAAAGTAGATCCAGAAGGGGGAACGAGGCATGACTAGGAAGAGGAGGCTCCTTCAAAGACCGGAGCCATATATTCTCTTACCGACTGCCAGCCATCGACTATCAAAGACCAATCTGAATCCTCAGGAGAGAACCCAAAGGATATGGACTGCAGGGGATCTGAAACACCCAAGAGAGATGACCACCATTACTGTGGGCACTTCAGAACCTTCTGAACAGGTTTTGGTGAATTAACCCACTGAAGAGGGGTCACCATGGCGGACAGACTCACGCACTATGATCCCTGGAGGTGGCCGCTCTAAGCCCCTGGGACAGGACGAAGACCAAGGAGACACAAAGCAGCTTGTGTACTGTCTGGACACACAATGTTCCCTTAGATAGCTGCCTCAATTGGGAAGGCCTCTGACTGAGACAAGCCAGTACAGGATGTTTCGTAGGTCAGCGAGGTTAAACCATGTTGGCAAAGCTCAATATCTTCCGAATTAGTCAAGTGGTCCCTCTCCTGGAGTCCACCCCATGGCGGATCCGTAGTGCTCAAGCCAAGCAACTTCCTCTTTGAAATTCTGAAGGACCACAAGCATCTTCACAGTTTGTGTGCTGCTCCGTGTCCTGTGTGCGGTGTTCATCCTCATCTCTGGCCCAAAGAGAGGCAATGTCAAAGAATGCTCAAACTACCACACAATTGTACTCTCACACGCTAGTAAAGTAATGCTCAAAATTCTCCAAGCCAGGCTTCAGCAATATGTGAACCGTGAACTTCCAGATGTTCAAGCTGGTTTTAGAAAAGGCAGAGGAACCAGAGATCAAATTGCCAACATCCACTGGATCATCGAAAAAGCAAGAGAGTTCCACAAGAACATCTTCTTCTGCTTTGTTGCCTATGCCAAAGCCTTTGTGTGGATCACAACAAACGGTGGAAAATTCTGAAAGAGATGGGAATACCAGACCACCTGACCTGCCTCTTGAGAAACCTATATGCAGGTCAGGAAGCAACAGTTAGAACTGGACATGGAACAACAGACTGGTTCCAAATAGGAAAAGGACTACGTCAAGGCTGTATGTTGTCACCCTGCTTAACTTATATGCAGAGTATATCATGAGAAATGCTGGGCTGGATGAAGCACAAGCTGGAATCAAGACTGCCAGGATAAATATCAGTAACATCAGATATGCAGATGACACCACTCTTATGGCAGAAAGCAAAGAACTGAAGAGCCTCTTGATGAAGGTGAAAGAGGAGAGTAAAAAGTTGGCTTAAAACTCAACATTCAGAAAACTAAGATCATGGCATCTGGTCCCATCACTTCATGGCAAATGGATGGGGAAACAGTGGAAACAGTAACAGACTTTATTTTCTTGGGCTCTGAAATCACTGCAGATGGTGACTGCAGCCATGAAATTAAAAGACGCTTGCTCCTTCGAAGAAAAGTTATGACCAACCTAGACAGCATATTAAAAAGCAGACATTACTTTGCCAACAAAGGTCCATCTAGTCAAAGCTATGGTTTTTCCAATAGTCATGTATGGATGTGAGAGTTGGACTATAAAGAAAGCTGAGTGGCGAAGAATTGATGCTTTTGAACTGTGGTGCTGGAGAAGACTCTCGAGAGACCCTTGGACTGCAAAGAGATCCAATTAGTCCATCCTAAAGGAGATCAGTCCTGGGTGTTCATTGGAAGGATTGATGCTGAAACTCCAATACTTTGGCCACCTCATGCAAAGAGTTGACTCATTGGAAAAGATACTGATGCTGGAAGGGATTGGGGGCAGGAGGACTAGGGGACGACAGAGGATGAGATAGCTGGATAGCATCACCAACTTGATGGACATGAGTTTGAGTAAACTCCAGGAGTTGGTGATGGACAGGGAGGCCTGGCTTGCTGCGATTCATGGGGTCGCAAAGAGTCGGACACGACTGAGCGACTGAACTGAACTGGCTCAACAGAGAGGAGGAAAAGAGACAACAGAGTTTAAGTGCACTTAAAGCAGAGGGCTCAGCTCACTGGAGGTCCAAGTAGGACACTGAAGCTCACAGAATTTAAATGATGGAGCCAAGAGCACACAGCTAATAACCACCAACACGAGAATTCAAACACAGGCTATTAGGCCTTGAAAGCCTAAAATCTATTATTATTGCTTCCCCTAAATACTTAACAAATATTTGATACATCAGATGCATGTATTCATTAATCCATCACTCGCTCATTCGTTCAACACTGAGTTCCTATCACACGCAAGCAAGGCTATGCATCCTGTCAGCAAGGAAACTGGAAACATGAACCGCGTTACCAGCCAGGAGATGAGGAGTAAACCCCCAGCTCTTAAATGTGTCCTTTGTTCACACCGTTACAGAAGTCCTGGCCTATACAACGAAGGTTCAAAGCTTCCACAGGACAGAATGAAAACCCGAGAGCTTTCTGCTACTACCCGTGTTACTACAACCTCTGGTGAGACGGAACACAGCACTTGTGCCAAAACACACACCGCTCACCTGATGTAATTCCAGCAGTTAAAATATGAACGTGTAAGCCTGCCCGGTTTGACCTATTTTATAATTATTCTTTTTTTTTAATTGGCAAATGCTGAGAGACCAATATGAATGTGAGAAGGATCTATGCAGCATCAAAAGCATTTTAACTTCAAAAGCAGTTGGGAACGAGCAACACAGAAAAAACTCTTATTTAAAGTAGTAGTGATACTACTACTAAGTAGAACTACTTATTTAAAGTAGTAGTGAAAATAACCAAGAGAAAAACACCTAGGCCCCCTGAGGTTACAAAGCTATGGATTACATAAGATACTTGACTGAAAGAACTATTAGCTATGCTTGAGGAAAATAATTATAATTTTTATTTTATTATATATAATAATTCTTACTTCTAGTTATAATAAGAAGTTATAATTCTTACTTCTAGTAAGAAAAGGACAATTTACACAAAACACTTCTATCTCAACTATTACTTGTTTTTGCATTTGACAGCGTGTATTGCATCTAAGGAAAAATAGCAATTCTCTTACTTTTTAAAAAATACGAACATTAAAAAAAAAACAAAGAAAACAGAATATCAACTTTGAAGTAGAGATTGACACAAATGGCCAAGTAGTTTACTTAAAGACAATGAGAGCAAGATATAAAAAACCAGGATGCAGTAGTGACACACTGCAACTAGAAAGCACACTCCTTAACTAATGGACACAGTCAGTTTGCCACTTAAGCTTCGCCAATGGAGAGGAAAGATCAATTGATTAATTGCTGCCTAAGCTACTGATTTTTCCAAAGCAACCAAAGGCTTAAGACACATACACACAAAACACAACAATTACCAATTTTAAAACGTGGCAACTAATTAGGAATTTTTAAAACCACCACGTGAGCAAAACAAATCATATCTCAGGTCTAAATTTAGCTTATAAGCCCCCAAGTGGTATCACCAACTCAATGGAGGTGATTCTGAGCAAACTCCAGGAGATGGTGATGTACAGGGAAGCCTGGCATGCTGCAGTCCATGAGGTCACGAAGAGTGGGACACGACTGAGCAACTGAACATCCGGCATCTATCTTACAGTACTAGTTTTCTTATTAAATTGTATGTGCTCATTTAGGATATATAACATATTTATATGATTCAAAAAGTTAAACTATATAATAAGCACATGTCAAAAACTTAAACTGAAATGTTTCAAACTTCTGACACAATCTACACCAGTTCCCACCCCATGCTCCCAACTTCACAAAGTAAAAGCTCTTCCATGTGCACAAGCAGCTAAATGGCTAAATCTCACCTGGTGTCTCTTCCTTTTTCAAGGAAAAGAACTCCAATTCTACTTATCCACTGTATTAAAGGCACAATTCTGATCTTAGAATAATTTCTCCCATACAAGGGAAAAACCATACGGTTCTGAATTCTTTTTACTTAATAACTCCCTTGGTAATTTCACATATACCATTAGCTTCCTTGTTCTCATCGTGTACAGTTTTAGCTACGTGGATTTGATCGATCTTAGGAACACAAAAATCTAAATCACCGAGGAGACTGAGGATTAGTTCCCACACATGGGAAAGGATTTGCTCCAGAGCTGGAAAGGAATTCTAGCAGCAGTTCTCACAATAGGACACTTTAAGCTGCAAAAAATCAGAAATCTTCTTATAGAAGTTTCAGTTTGTTGAGAAAAATGGTCTAAATAACTTAAAAGACCTAGCTGAACAGGAAGACGGCAACATTAAGCTATAATCTTATAGTCTACCCAGCTGCTTTACCTATGAGACATATACATTTAGCAGTGTGAACATGAAATCTTGTAAACAGCTTCCAGTATCAATAACTTCCTTTTTCACTGAGGAAGTCATAGTGATAAAACTCTCCACTTACCTAGCCTCTGAGAAAACTCATAAAATTTCTTTAATTTGCCGACTAGTGGGACAACTGCGCCCCATGCCTTCTCTTGTAGCTTCTCGTCTGCTGGATGTTGGATTGCCTTCAAAATCCAAAGAATAAAAATAGTCAAGATTTATTAAAAAATCATAACAGTATTACTTTTACATTAAAATATAGGTTTTGGCAAACACAGGGAATCCTGGTATAGTCTATGAAACAGTATAATGGATCCAGGAGAGGTGAAACTGGCCTTCTCAACTCCAGGGGTACTTTAAACCTAGTATAATAGTTTTCATCACCCTTGCAATGGATATGGATAGAAGAGAATAAAAAATGACACAATGTATGTTTGTCAGGTATATTATGCCTTGATACCTGTTAGAATCTAAAATTTAGACTCTCAAATTTAGAACCAAATAAAGATACCATTTTATATTGTTTCCCACATCACAGACAAGCTTTCTTAGAAATTCTTTAAGAACTGTTTTAGTGGAATAAAAGGAACAAAAAAAGCAGGTGATAAATAAGACCCATTCTGGGGAAAAGGCTAATAAATGCTCAATAATTCAAATTCCAAGGCCCAACCTAGCTTTAAAAAAGCTATCAAACACCGAAGAACCTAAATCAACCTGAAAATGTGATTTAGAAATGGTCACTTATCCCTTCCCTATAACTAAAATCCTATTCTGGAATCTAAATTTTTTTAGGTTTTCTTGAAGAAGGTGAAAAAGTTTCTAATGTTAAAGGGGAGAAAATAAAACATAATCTGGAGAATCTGTTATAAATATGAATATGCTCTTTCTCTGCCCAGTCTTCCAAGTCATTGGGCAATCATTTGTAAGCACAGAGGGCTATTCCCAAAGAAATGTGTATTATTGATTTCATCTTCCTTTCGCTTACAGATGCTTTTCTTCACTTTTTGTCCATAAAAGTCTGGTCTGCTTTTTCTAACATCTTCACATGAGCTAAACATTCCATCTGAAAGGTGAAGCACCTGTTTACAACATCATCAGAAGATAATGGCACATTCAGATTTTCCCAAGACACTAGTACTCTGACTCCATCCATACAAAACCAGAAGGAAACAAATAAAACTGAAACTAGATAGATTTAGAAGATGCTTCAGGGCTTCCCTGGTGGCTCAGAGGTTAAAGCATCTGCCTGCAATGCAGGAGGACCTGGATTCGATCCCTGGGCCAGAAGATCCCCTGGAGAAGGAAATGGCAACCCACTCCAGTATTCTTTCCTGAAGAATCCCATGGACGAAGGGGCCTGGTAGGCTACAGTCTACCGGGTCACAAAGAATCGGACACGATTTCACTTTCACTTTCAGATAAATTAGCGACAAGCTAAATAAGGGGGCTATATACATTGTTTAAGCAAACTGCTTTACCAGCTTTTTTACAGAAATAAATAGGAGTCTGAAATGAATCTCACTTATATGACTATTTAGAAATAATGCTATGTTAAAGAAAACTGGACTTTACAACATGTAACAATCCTTATTTCACATTATGTTAATATGACTATTTCAAAGGGACTGTGGTATTATTCTGATGTGCACGAAACAATCCTTTTAGTCTTTAAGCCAAATCTCAATAGTTTTATATCTAGTAGTAAAAATTTGTTCATTTTATTATTTGGGGAATAAGCAAACAGATAAAAATTTAAAATGTATTTTCTTCTCTTCAGAAGCCTATCCAATCTCTCTTGCAAGAATTTAAACACAATTTTCTAAATACCAACTCATTTACGTAATATTAAAATGCTCCAGCAAATGTCACCCACTGTTAAGAGTGAACAGAGTTAACTATTTCCCTAGGTGTGCCTTGCCTGGATTTATAACCGAAGACACTGGTTGCTCTTCTACGACAACTGTTTATGGTTCTCCTTATACTTGTGACTCTCCTCTGAGATCAGTTCCACTGCTGTCAGAGAACACTTTGACATAGCACCTATATCATAGTCCAATGTGAAAAGGGGCACTTAGTGAGATGTCAAGCCTTTTTAAAAAAAAAAAGCGATGGCCACCATTAAAAAAAATAACATGCAAAGTGCTATGGCAAAAGAGTACAGGGAAACAGATTATTGGGATTTGAAGGAAGGCTAGGAACTGAGCAGGAAAAGAAAAAAGAAGTGCCATGTTCCAGACAAAAACAAAGGCAAGGAACTGTACATGTGCAAGAAGTTCTGGAAACGAGCAGTCCAGTGTAGGAGAGGTGAGAGGCACAGGAGCAGGGGAGGCTGTCATGGAGCAGCCATGAAAATAACTACGTAAGTTATTTTCAAAAATGTTAAAATGTTTGATATACCAAAACATTAGCAGGAAGTTCTTATTTCCCTCTCTAGTGGTTTAGCTAGAGAATAAGCTTTATTTAATAGATTCTTTTTTTTAAAAAATTATCTTATTTATTTATTTGACTGTGTTCGATGTTAGCTGCAGCACATGGGATCTTTGCTCTTAGCTGTGCCATGTGGGATCCAGTTCCCTGACCAGGGATCATACCCAGGCCCCCTGCACTGGAAGCAGAGTCTTAGCCACTGGACCGCCAGGGAAGTCCCTAGAGTCTATCTTAAATCAAATTTTATTCTCCTTTAGAGTCGTGTTTAATAAAGCGCTATTTAAACAAATATATATATTTATAATTCACATCATTAGCATAGTAATAACAGTAAACTCGAAGTCTATCTTCTCTGTGTCAGCTTCTACATGTCTCTTCTGATAGATTATCTAACTCTATCCTCAAAACAACTCTATGAATTGCTTCCAAATTTTTGCTACGATGAATAAGGCATCCATAAAGATTTTTACATTCACCTCCCCCTTGAATGATAGCCTCTGGAGAGTGTTTTCTAAAATTAAGTATCTGACAGAAGAGTACATATAATTTTATAGATCTGATTTTACACCTTGTCAAACTGACCTCCAAAAAGACAATGATTCTATAATGCCATGTGCATTGATTAAGACCATTTCTTTAAAAAAAACAAAACAAAAAATCTGTTTCTTCATAAACCAACCTCCATTAAACTTTAACCACTTTGTTATTCTATCATGTGCCTTCTCAAAAGGTAGAATGGTTGTTCTACTAAGTCAATTAAATCTTCACACTGACCTATGACAGTCTCAGTAGTCACATTTGTTCTTTTTACATTTGATTTATACTCAGCTTTGATATGTTTAGAAAACTTGAAATTCACAGAAATGGTTACATGCCTTCATTTACTGAAATCGTAAGGTTTTTAACTCAAGCCAATGCTAAATGGCAAGATTAGTCTTCTTGCATTTATTCTTCAATAGTTACTAACTGCTTACCAAGCACTATACTAGGTGCTGGTAAAACAAAAATAAGAAAGAAACCTTCCCCAGGCTAGAAGGCTGAAGAAACAGACATCATATCTCAGTGATTTTTTTAAAAAGTGGTGGCTACCATAAAAAAAAAATGTGCAAAGTGCCATGGCAAAAGAGTACAGGGAAGTAGAAGACTACTGGGATTTGAAGGAAGGATAGGAACTGAGCAGGAAAAGAAAAAAAGAAGTGCCAAGTTCCAGACAAAAACAAAGGCAAGGAACTGTACATGTGCAAGATGTTCAGGAAACGAACAGTCCAGTGTAGGAGAGGTGAGAAGCACAGGAGCAGAAGGTCAGGAGAAACTGAAACGACAAAGTGTGAGCTATGCCTTCAAAAAATACAATGAGAAAAGAGACCAGAGGCCAGGAAGTTTCTTTGGGTAGTATGGGACACCCGAGTGTATGTGTGCACATGTTGGGAAGAACTCAGTAAAAGAAAAAGATGCAATTAAGAGAAGGAAATTAAAAGAGTAAAGTTTCAGAGGAGGGTAGAGAAGTTAGTCTTGGTAAGAAGTAGGCACACGGCTTCTTCTGGAGGAAAAAAAATAAAACAGAAGGAATAGAAAAACAGATGGATGAAAACCTGGATAAGTTCAGAGGTTTGGGAGAAGAAAGCTGAGGGAGACCACACCATACACTTGCTCTCTGGCGGCATCAGACACAGTTGAGGGGGTCCAGACCACAAAGATGGTCTTGGCTTTCTCCTAGGAAGCTTAGGAGGAGCAGAAAGACAGACTGGCAGAACAGAAAATCCATAGAATGCTCGATGTTCTCCCCTCCAAAAACAGTATGAACAGCACCCCCATGGATACTGTAAATTTTAGGTATGAGAGTAAGCCAAAAGAATTCTCTTTAATATATATAAATTACGTAGTTTAGAATCCTGTTTTCTGTTTACCCTTCTATCACTGCAACCTCTTCTGAAATAATGCAAGTGATCTTCCTTTAAATAACTCTGACTATGCAAATAGACAATACAGGAAACAATAGAGATTAAAAAGAGGGACAGTAATTTTCACCTCCCGTATTTCATGGCCAGCTCCTCTATACGACTGCAAGTCCTCCAGGATGCCTTCTGCATCTTTTAGAACCACATTCACCTGGTTATAAATTTCCTTCTCAGACTCTGTCGGCTGGGCATCTAAATGGCAGGAAAGCACAAGAAAATTTACAGTCACATGATTTTTTTAAGTACATGTATAATAACTCAAGTACTAAATAATCCAAAAAAAAATAGTCTAAAAAGTTGGTTTGACTTAACATTTTTTCCAATGCTAACTTCACACTTCTTATAAAAGACTGACCATTTTTACAAAGTTCTATATTTGAATAACTAGCCTCAAGTTGGTAAATATCATAGAGAAGCAAGGGAACACCAGACATCACTATTCGAGTTACAAATCATGATGTGTTATATTAAACAAATGAGAGTTATAACTCAAAAATTTTAATTGTCAGTGTATACTCACTTGTTTCTGCTATACTCACCACTAACAGTAATGACTGAAAATGCATGAGTAACCATCTATTTAACTCAATAGAAATGAAAGACTAACTAATGTACCTGGCTCATCTACAGTTTAAGACATAAACTACTTTCCTTTTAAAATAAAGTTCACTTTAATGACTGAGCTTTGATATAAAAAGTAAAAAAGACTTTAGTGATTCTAAAAACCACTTTATACACTGACCAGTGAACTTCTCTGCTGATGAACAAAAGGTGCAGATTACTATGCAGAGGAGTATGAGTTATGAAAGGGCTCCAGAATTACTAGGCTACTAAAAACTAGATACTTAAAGACACAATATTATCACTGAAATTTTGAAATACTAACGCAAAAACTGAGTTTCTATATACTTGGGACTGAGTGAGAAGAAAAATGAAGGGGTAATTATAAAAAGCATAGTTAGGAACACAAACATATGGGCACTTCCACCGTGTGTGGCATTAGCCACAAAACATAAGTTTTAATAGATGAGTAATTCTGGATTTCTCTGTTAAGGCTTGAGGTGACAAAAATCCTGTTTTTAATACTCTGGTCATTTGTTTCGCTAAGGATAAGTCTTTTTATTCAATACATTTGATTTTTGGTAGGGGGAAATGAAGGAAATAGATGTTCTTGAGGAATCTGAGTTTTTCATAAATCTTTCCAACTAGACTATATTCAAGACTACAGACAAGGCAAAAAGCACTTAAAATAATAAACATTATGATTACCATAATGTTTTAGAGAGCAATTGTGGTGTCAGAATTCCTCCATGTTAAAATTTTCTCTTATACTCTGGAGGGTAGGGGAGGCAGACCAAATTTATAATATGAATTAAGAACATTTCTCATAAATATCATTTACCAATCATATAATACAAGAACCTAGACTTTTCTGCACATACTCCACCTCCCCATAAATATACAAAGATCTATTTATTCCTTTCCTTAAAATTTTTTTAAAAACTTAGTTCACACACGAAACTAGGAGTCCAGGTGCCTAAAACCTGGAACTTTACTTTGTGCTTAAGGCAAGTCATAATTCAATTCATTTATTAAACTCACCAACTAGTCAAAAATATATCTTAAACCAACAATCACAGTAGCAAACTTTAATTTCAACATACTTAAGACAGTACTACAGCAACATTAAGAGTAACATTCACATGCAAAGCCAACTTAAGAATTTGTGTTCTCAAGTCTGTTTCCTTATTTTAAAAATCTCCTTTCAGAAATCATGTATTTTTTTTAAAGAAACTGCTATGACAAATTACACAAGAGGAGTCAACTGAAAAATGTAAAAGACTCTGTGTCCAAAGCTATAAAGGTATTACTAGGAGTAAATACTGATATTATAGCTAAATGATTTTTTAAAAATCAAAGTTTGTCATTTAGCAGTAATATTTTTTCATTTAGCCAGACCGTATTATCCACTCATAATTAGACACACACTAAAAAAAAGTACACCTCAGTTATAACTTTTTATACTTACACCAGATGCAGTAGAGAAAAATTTTACATGCAAAAAACAGCAGTTTTATACTTTCCATATGAAATTATGAAACTACAGACATAACATCAATAAAAGACACGTATCATAGTTTGAATTCATGAAGTGGGAATTCATGACAAAGGACAATATTTTGACTATTATATATTAAAAGATATTTGTGAAGTTTGAAAACACTAAGCTATGTATTTTGGGTATGGTAACTAGCTATTAACAGAAAAATATGACACTGAGAATTATATACAAAAGAAATATTATCAAGGAGATTTAAATAGACCTTGGAAGTGGTTAATCATTATTAAAGGTTTAATAAGTACCAAGAAATTTAAAAATAAAGGAGAAGATTCTAGTTTCCCTTAAGGGTGGAAAAAATACCCAGCACCACACTGATTAAACCTTTTTTAGACTGTCACAGGAAAGTCACATTTATAATTTTGAAAGCTGCTGAAGACTGCTGTAGAAATGAAGACAAACAGAAAAGAGCAGACAGGTAAGCACTACTTTACTGACAGCAAGTCATGCAAGAGGGTGAAATACTCGGGAGGGGAAAGGACTGTATAAAATAAAGCATTTTTCCCCAAAATAGGATCAGCCAAGACTTGTCACTTTGATTTCTCATAGCAAAAAATGAAAAATTTAATTACTTGAGGAAAAACATATCATAAGCTTAGCCAATTAACAAAAGGACATTCATTTGATTGCAAAATGTTATCTACTACCGAGAGTAGGCATAGTAATTACTCATCAAGCTTAGTTTTAAAAGCTGTTCAAGGGAAATTAAAGCATGTTTCAGTTGCTCTTACTATTTGAAGATAAAATTAATTATTTTAATAATTTCACACCAGTTTCCTACTGAAGAGTCACTGAAAGTAACTGCTAAAATTGAAGTTGTTATGGTACAGAGGCAAAGATGAGCTACAAAAGGAAAAAAAATTTGTCACATAAAAATTGTAACTGTGATAAGAGGTCTTTCTGCTTTAATCTCATTCATTCATACAATAAATATTTATAATCCCACTGAGGCAGAGTATGTACAGTACATACCACTTTTCAGTATATAAACTTAGTACCTAGTAGATTTTTAATAATAAATAATTGTTGAATGAATGAAAAGGTATAGATTTATAAATACGCCTCTAGCATGTGTTAAGGAAGGCAATTATGCATTTTTACATCTAAACAAATATAACCCTACATCATTTTAGAAAAATAAATATAACAAAATGCCATCAGAAATTTCAAAGTACAGGGCAAAAGCAACTGAAAATATATAAAAGGTAAAATGGAAAAACAAAATACTAAGAGAGTGGGTACTATCAAATTTTTTTTTGACTGGGGGGAGAGGAGAACAGGAAACACAAAAGACACAAGAATTCGAAGAAAAGTATGACTAAGTGGAAAGGCTCTATAACAAAGAACTAGAGAAAGTAAGTGTCTATTTCTCACAAATAACCACCTACATTTACTCTCCTATTTGGTCTACCTGGAATTACACAAATCAAGGTTAACTAATGAATATTGAACTTCTGTGATTATGAAGCACCTTGCTAAGGTTGGGAAGGGACATAAAAGTCCCTCTTCTCGCAAGAGACAACTGCGTGAGCTAATACACAAAGTAGTTACTCAGGCTAAAGATCTGTCATTAGAATGAGCTATAAATTAACAATGTCATCATAAAATAAGAAATTTCAAGAACTAGAAGAGACTGTACAGGCCCCAATTCAGTACTTTTAATATGCTGTCATTAGCATAACTGCCATCAAATTTTATGGGGCAATGCTACATATTAATTAAACTGCTATTCTTAAAACAAAATCATATAAGGATAATTTGTTTTAAGAAAAAGACCTTCTTTCTAGTACCTCGAGTAGATAATACACTTCACTGAACACAGAATGTCATTTCATGCCTCAAGGCTTTTTTTAAAAAAAACATGTTGTTCCTTTTTCTCCACAACATCCTGCACTAAATTAGCATGAAACATTCTTATCACCCTTCACAACCCAACTCTAATATCACCATCAGGAATTCTTCCATCATGTCCAATCCACTCACAGGTAAAGTTAATCCCTTTCCTGACCTATATACTTTGAATGATGTAAATAATTAGCTTGCATTTCTATCTATTCTACTGGATTGAGAACTCCCCAAAGGTAAGGGTTGTTTGTTAGTTATCTTGGCATCCCCAGTATCTATTGGCTGGCACACACGAGGCAAGCTGTAAACTGTGTGTGTGCAAGCACATATATTAAGGGATAATGATGTACTTTAAAGACAGTCTTCATTTTGTAAAATATAGGGGTCCATTAAATCATAGTTCAAAATTACTAGAATAGTTAATTTTTTTATACAGTTTGATGCAAAATGTCAATATATCTGTCTGTATGGTATTGTTTCTATAGCTGCCCAACCATGGAGATGCACTGAACTAGGTAGGCTTAACCAATTAGAATGATGATGAGTAAAGCTAAATTATTCTGGTAACCTAAATATTACAGTTTATCTAGAAATAAATAATGTATTAAACACTGCTTAATAACAGAATATGACTTTATTCTCATCAACCTATGAACTGGCAAATCAACTGCTATTTTGAATCTGGTATAAAACAGTTAAAAAGAAAGGAAGTTTCAAGGGGTCACTATAGTAGCTGAATGATAAAATACACTTTTACAAATGCACATTTCCAAAAAGAAGATAAATATGCAAATGGATGAGAGATAAAACTGAATAAGACAACTCTGAATTAGATTCAAAAGAAAACATATTTACAAAATGTAACTAAGAATTAACAGGGACAAACTGACCTAGTTTGCAGTCTGTTTTCACTACATTTCATTTACAGGTTACCAGTAAGTGTCAAAAGTTTTACATTGGCTGATATAAGCAACAAATACTTAATTTATATCTGCCTTTAGAAAGTTAACACTTTATATGTAGTTCTTCATTGTTGGTTATTCTTGTTATTAATCTTAACCTTTTCCTGCTACTACATTAGCTATTTAAAACTTAAGGATAATGATCCAAACCCCCACAGATTAGAAAACCAAGATCAAATAATATTTTGAAAACTACAGTAAATTCATGCTTCTCACTTGACCACAACATAATGCTCGGTTTTTAAAAAGATCAAGTGCCAAGTCTTGAACAAGATCTTGACTGTATCAAAGCCAAGATTCTGCAAATGTAAGGAACTTGAGACAAAGATAAAAAGGAGACAGAATAGCAGAAAAATATACAACAGCAAGTTTGAAACAGATGCAAGTAAACTAAAATACAGCTCTAATGTAAGCTGCCTCATCTGAAAGAATAATCCTCAAATCAGCAAACTGCTCAATATCCCCAAGCTGATTAAAATTCATGCTAAACATGCATTTAAAATAGCATTGTTAAATTGTTGAGAAGGGTCAAGAAAACTAACATTCAATAACATCGTTCCCTAAAAACCAAACAATATGGTCCTGATGTTGACATTACTACTCTTCACTAGCCTGCAGAGTATGCAAACTGTCAGTATGAAACATCAATAGGAATGTAATAAAAGTGGAAAAATATCAGAGACCACAGACTGCCCCATCAAATGGAGACAAACTATAAAGTAATGTGCTCATATGATCTGTCCTTATTTAAAGAAAAAAATACAAATTATTCATAAAATAGGATGAACTGTATAATATCACATAAACTGAAGTTGATGGAAAAAATGCAACATCTCTGGGGGGATTTCTTTTAAGGGATTTGTTTTAAAACTCATAAAATGTCTTAAATATGTAAAAATCTGTTCAAATGTTTTAATCTCAGATGAAAATGCAAGTGGTAACGTGATTTATAACCTAAAGGCTCTTCACCCTTTCCTAACAATTTTCTAATGATCAGTTAAAATAGCAACATTCACACTAAAACACCAATTGAATATCATTGTTCCCAATTTGACAACCAGACAAGCTAAAGCAATACTGACAGCCAAAAAAGCAAAAGCTTTTCAACATGCACAGAGGTCAATGACACTTACCTGCCACTCTTAGACCATATTACAATAGGTCATGCAACATAAAACAAACAGAAGGCAAATTACTTAAAGGTCTGTGAACCCATTATTTTTCTTTTTATTTAGAGTTAGAAAAAAAATGAACTCCTGAAATAAATACATATAATAAATTTAACTTTTAAAATCAGTTATCTGCAAAAATTAAATAATTAAGGTTCACACTTACCTTTTAATATTATGCCCAAATTACTGAGCTTTGAATGGCCTTCATGAACAGATTTTGTATTCAAATTATTTCAATAGGTACACAGAGTAATTGAAACCTAATCAATTTTTCTCAACTACAGTAAAATTTTCCCCAAATATTGCTTCTAATTAACAAATCTTGCAGAAGCATATCCTTTCCACCAAAATCTTTTCATAAAAATGTTTTCAGAGTATCTCAAATGTTTTTACTAGAGATCTCAAATTATAAATTAATGTCCAACTAAGAGATATAAATCTCTTATAAAAATTCAAGTAAAAACATTATCACAATTTAATCTATAAAATATGACTTCCAGTTCTAGAAGGCACAAGAAGTTTTACTCAAACAATTCATAGCTCAGTCATGCAAAGCAAAAGTTAAAAAGATGGCAAAGTGGAAACATTCATTTAGTGCAAGACAAACGCAGTCTACTGCAGGCAAAGAAAAAGAGATATAAAATCATCTTCTCACTTTCAAAATCAAGGAAAAAATTTGGCCCCTGCTCAAGGTCTGTGCATGTCAAAACTTTAAGAAGATTCCCCATGTTAAGGTACCTGTCAAGACAAGAATGAGAAAAGAGAAAATATCCCTTTATAAAAAAGAACATCTGAAATTTAACTTAAAAAAAAAAAAATCGTAACAGGGAAAATGTTCATTAGGCCATGAATTCGTCCTTCAGGTTACCCAGACTGTGCTCGGGCAGACAGCAAAGCGGGCTCTCCAGGTGCTGATATGTAGGACCTAGAGGTGAAATGTAGTTTTCCTGTACACAATGGCACAACTGTTGCTCTAATTCTTCTTAAAATTCTCCCAAGTTTCATTAATGGCCTTATAATGAAAAATTCTTTAAGTATTCCAATAGTGCTAGTATTCTGAAAAAGAAATTTCTGATCAAGAATTATTCACAGGTAATCTTGTTTAATATTGCACTGAAACAACAATTTATTTTAAAGCCAAATATTAAGAATTTCGGCCACAGCTCACCTTTGCTTTCATCTTAAGAGTAGCAGAATATTAGGCTACTTCCTGTATGCCATTCAACAAAGCATGTATTCCTAATCGAATTTGGATTTTCAATAATTTGTGGAAGTTATTTAAAGAATTGATTTTGGATATGCAGCACAACTCTGATTCTTCATATGAATAGAATTACTATAGGGTTATAAGCAACCAGATTGCTGGGCAGTCACTGAGGCATACTATTAGAATGTTCATCATAAGGCTAGTTGCTTCATGGACTAATGAAAGGACAGCACCGGCTACACACTCAACATGATTCGGCAAATGAAAAACTAAATTATACATATGATGGTGATGTTTGCCTATGATTAAGAAAAAAAGTCATGCAAATTTTGTGTGATCCCCGTATTTTATTAACAAAGCTGGCCTTCACTGTGGTGTGAGTATTAATTTATCTTTCACCTTTACCATTATGCACCAGCCATGAGGGGCTAAGAGACTTACTTTCAAAGTCCAAGAAAAAATGTGCTGCATTGTGGTCTATGTCCCTGGTTAGCACCTTAATGAGATTACCCATGCCAGCAAACCTAAAAATAAAAATGGCAACACTGTTTAGTTCCAGTAAAAAAGTTTTAAGCAGAGGCCTGGGATTCGGCAAAGGCTGGCTTGCTCATAATTACCAACAGGTGCAGGTTTATATGCTTCTGGCATTGAAAATTTGGAACAACAAAAGCACATTTGGCTCTGAGTTTATAGCTCTTGTCCCTCTTTTCCACATATCCAAAAATTTACATAAAGCAAAACTGGAAAGAAAGATTAGATTTTTACATTTAACTTACAATAGTTACATTTCATTAACATCTATGCTAAGTGTTACTCCTTTAAAATGCTTAAGGCATATATTCTCAATTTAAATTAACATTAAGAATAGATTTCTCACCTAAGGAAATACTGAGACCATTATTTTTAAATACTGGGGATATTTTCCCTCTTGTAGAAGCAAATCCTATTAGGATATAAGGAAGACAGTATTCAAACCACACTTAACCATTAAAGACTGAAGGGAGATATCAATTAATGACTCATTTTTAAAATTTTACCATACATAAACCAGTATTTCTACATTTTCTGTATTTCTAAGATTAATCAAACTTTTTATTATTTAACTCATAGGTTGATTACTCAACAATATCAACTGTACACAAAGTATGTAACTTAGAAGTTAACACAGCAAAACCAACACAAAGGGAGCCAGTAAATATTACAATTCTTTAAGTTTGCAGAGGAAAAATAATGCATTGATGTAAACCTTGCCCAAGAATTTGCCATGACTCAGTGGGGATGAAGGTGTAAGGAGGGGTCAGGATCCTCCAGGAAATCAGATTCACACCTTGAAAATGTAGCAGCTATAGGGAAGGCAGTCTAAGGCACCACCAACAGATCATTCCCTCCCCTCCTCTAAGCTCCATACTTTCTCTCCAAATATGGAAGCTCTGATAAAGGTAAATGAAGTGAAATACAAAGTAACAATATTTTTATCGATGAAAGAAAACACCTTATTGCTTGAGCCCTATTACAAAAAAGTCTGAAAAGAGTTAGCACCGGTGTCCTGTGCTGTGCTCCCTTCCTCCACCTACTCTCTGTGCACTGGCATACGTTCCAAACTCTAAGCTTCCCGAAGAGGAAATAAGAGTCTGCGTGTAATGGTTACTCACTTCACAGACCAAAGTCTGATGAACTGGAATACACTTCTTAGAAATGTTAAAAGCAGTTTAGTTTATTCACAACAATGGTTAACACTGAAGGGACCCCTCTCTTAAAATAATGCCCCGTATGGCAGCAATAGGGATCTATGTTATTTTTGATACTAAAATTCCTATTACACAGAATTTCACTGAAAGGATTTTGTACAATGTATGACACAGATGGACTGAGATTAAAACTAAAAGAGAAAAATTTCATCTTAATTATCTTCTACACTGTGAAAAGTTTAATAATACCAAGCTTTTATATACAAGAAAAAATAAAACATCCAAAGAATGACCTCAGAGTATTACTAAATCTATTCAATAAATTTTTTAGGAACATTTGGGAAAAAACTATTTCACAGCTTCAACTTTCAAAACCTTTCAAATATATATGGAGTATCTGTTTCCAAACATATATAAATTCTGTCACTAATAAGAACTAAGACCAAATATACAAAGAATTACCTACAGGTATCAAAACTTAAACCACAGATGGAAAATCAGCATGTGAAAGGACGGTAACTGTCTTTAAGAGGAAAAGGCAGCACGCTATTTGTTGTTAAAAGAGCTTAATCTATGGAATCAAATCAAAAGTTTAACTACCTAAAGAGCTGTTTGCCTTGAGGATAGCAGTCAACTTTTCTGGGACTCATTTTCCCCAGTAAAATACACATTTCACAGTAACCATCTTAAAAGGCTATTATGAGAGTTCAGTGAGATTAAATACCAATTTATTAGCACAGTGTATGGCATACAAAAGCATCCAATTAAAACGTTCCCTGTGTTAAAAACCAAAATTCACAAAGTAACTTAAAAAAAAATGGCTGTTTCTTTTAATACAAACTACATTTTTATAAATCGCAAAACCCATGGCCCACTTCTGTCAAGAGTATTGCTAAAATGCTGCCCTATAATTAGTCCTGTGAGACCACCACCAGGTAGAGGAAAGAGAAGACAGAGATCTAAGTGTCCTCACCTTAGCACTTGGATGCACACAGTGATCCTCAGGGAAAATACTGAAACTAGCCAAGTTTATCTGCTCCATTTTTCTACATCTCCTTCAGTGAATTTCTTCTACTACTTAGTCCTTCTTTCGAGGCACCCCAGCCTAACGTGCCACTAACACCCGTCACCCAGCATCATACTTGGTCTTGACCTATTCACTCTTCCCAAGTACACAAAGATTCAGAATCCTTTTCACGTCTTCATCCCAAAAAGTGACTCTTAGTTAGAAAATGGCCCAGTTTATCTAATACGGGCTTCTCAACCTCAGGACTACTAACATTTGGGGCCGAGTCTGGTGGCTCAGCTGGTAAAGAATCGGCCTGCAATGCAGGAGACCTGGGTTCGATCCCTGCATTGAGAAGATCCCCTGGAGAAGGGAACCCACTCCGGTATCCTGACCTGGACAATTCCATGGACCGTATGTATGGTCCACAGGGTCGCAGAGAGTTAGACACAACTGAGAGACTTTCACGTTCATGCCGCTGTTGAGAGGGGTCGGTCTCACACTGGAAGGTCTTCAGCAGCACCTCGGGCCTCTATACACCAGATGCCAGTACTAACTAACCCACCACACAAGTTGTGACAGACAGAAATGATCCTGGAGAGCGGCAAATGTCTCCTAGGGGCAAACTCAACAGCACACAGACAATCTACATCATGTGTTTCTTTGAACAAAAACCCATGGAATTTTTCAAAGGTCTGAAAATGGATCACTATAATACTATCAGTTGTCCTATCTCTTAATGGTCTTCCCTGCAGCTCAAACGGTAAAGAATCTGCCTGCAACGTAGGAGACCCAGGTTTGATCCCTGGATCAGGAAGATCCTCTGGAGAAGGGAATAGCAATCCACTCCAGTATTCTTGCCTAAAGAGTCCCATGGACAGTGGAGCCTGGTGGGCTACAATCCGTGGAATTCCCAAGAGTCAGACATGACTGAGTGACTTAACAGTACACCACATACTATCTTTTAATAAAGTCAAAGTTTTACTCACTCAGTCCTGTCCGACTCTTTGGGACCCCATGGACTGGAGCCCGCTAGGCTCCTCTGTCCATGGGACTCTCCAGGCAAGAATACTGAAGCAGGTAGCCAATCCCTTCCTCAGGGGATCTTCCCAACTCAGAGAACCTGGCTTCTCCTGCACTGCAGGCAGACTCTTTATCCTATGAGCCACCAGAAGCTTATTATTTTTTAATAATAAACAAAAAAATTAAAACCATATTCCTGCTGTCTTACATAGTTTACAGTTAAAAAAAACAACTCCCTCCATCTCCAGTGTGACTGATTTCAATACCTATGAGCATGCTGCTGCTCAGTCGCGTCCGACGTGAGGTAACCCCGCGGACAGGCTCCTCTGTCTGCGTGACACTTCAGACAAGAATCCTGAGTCGGTGCCATTTCCCTCTCCATCTCCTCAGTGTGACTGATTTCAGTGACTATGACGTAACAGTATTAGTCAGTTCTGTTGGGTACCAGACTGCCAGGGTTTAACCCCCACCCCACCCCTGACAACTCTGCCACTTCGAAGCTTTGTGACTTTAGTCAAGCTTCCTCACTTCTCCAAGCCTCAGTTCACTCATCTGTGTGTGCTCAGGCATAACCGACTCTTTGTGACCCCGTGAACTGTAGCCCGCCAGGCTCCTCTGTCCGTGGGACTTTCCAGGCAAGGATACTGGAGCGGGCTGCTATTTCCTTCTCCATCTCATCTGTGAAATATATACAATAACCACCTCCACTGCAGAGGGCTCATAAAATCATTAAACGGGTTAACGCAGTGGAAGCAAAACCTTCAGGACCGCACCTGGCAGAGCAGCCACTGCCCTTGCTCCGCTGCGCTCCGAA